CAATCCCTCTTAAGTCAAGAATCCCCCAGGTATATGTAGTGTGATGATTCAGATGTACATATAAGTCATACGTGATGTAGTGCAATGTCATACTTACCGCCCTAGGACGAAATAACAGAGGGGGAAATAAGTTATACAAATAAGTTAAAGGTAGGGGCAATACTCGCCTCCGTGTCTTTCATAAAATCATGACTTTTTGTCATGAAATAGCAAAATCATGTAATTTTATGTCAAGGCACGGAGGCTCATATTGCAAGTTTAAAGCTGAGCAATCACCGACGAGAAAACATGTGGCTGCGGCCGAAAGTAGAATTCCTTGAAGGTGGATTCTCTGGACCAGTCTGCCATTCTCATAAGGTCTTCCAGGCATGCCCCCGAAGAGGCCATAGAAGTGGCTGAAGCCCCTCGTGTGGAGTGGGCGGTAAAAATGGATGTGTCCACACCCGCCTGCGACATTACCCACTTCACCCAACGAGCCAGAGTTGTGCTGAATACTGGGGCGAAGGGTTGACGAATCGAGAGGAAGAGTTGAGGGGTTGAAGCCGACCGATGGGCCTTCGTCCGAAGTTCGTATTCTCTCAAGCAGGTCACTGGGCACAACATAGGGGTAGTTGGAAAACTCGGGTACGAGACTGAACGTATGGCCGTCTTAGTCCTTCTGGAGATATTAAATGTCACCCTGTCTGGGGTGAAGGATCTCGCATCGTGGTCCAGGGCCCGTACTTCAGAGACTCGTTTGCACGAAATGAGGCAGAACAGGGATACCAGCTTGGCAGAGAGTTGTTGCATGGAGAGGTCCGAATTGGGCGGCCAGGAGGAAAATGGCCGATCTGTATAGGTTAATCGTGCGATATGCTCGACCCGCTTCAAATAATGATGTGAGGAACTGGAGTATCGCTGTCACAGGAGCTGCCATGGGATCCAGGTCCCTAGCCAGGCACCAGCCAGTCCAAGCTCTCCAAGCGGTCCCATATGAGCGTCTAGTGCCAGGAGCCCATGCGTCAGCCAGAAGGCGTCGAGTTGTGTCCGAAACTCCTTGGGCTTCCCAGGGACCCCTGAAATCCTCCATGCGAGTAGCCGTAACGATCCGTCCAGTAGGAGGGGATGTTGTTGGCCCAAAGGGTTCAGCAGAAGGTCCTGGTGGGACGGCAGAAGTGCGGGGACGTCTATTGCCAGTTCTAGGAGTTGTGGGAACCACGACTGGGTACCCCAGAATGGGGTTAGCAGGACCAAGTCCGCCATCTGGTGTCGTACTTGGAGTAGCACTCGGGGAAGCATGGCAAATGGAGGGAAAGCGTAAAGGAGTGCGCCGGACCAGTCTTGTAGGAAGGCGTCCACTGCTTCTGCGGCCGGGTCTGGGCGCCAGCTGTAGAACCGGGGTAGTTGGGCGTTGAGCCTGGAAACTAAGAGGTCGATGGTGAAGGGCCCCCAAAGGGATGAGATAGTGGAGAACGCCTCTGAATCCAATTTACAATCGCTGCTGTCTGATAGATAGCGTGAGCTCCAATCCGCATGGGTATTGTGAAGACCAGGGAGGTATTCCGCCTGGACCATCAGGTCCCTGGCTAAGCAATAGGTCCAGAAATCCTTTGCCAAACGGGCCAGCATCGCTGAGCATGTGCCGCCCAGGTGGTTGACATAGCGAACTGCTGAGATGTTGTCCATACGCAGCCTGATGCAAGCGCTGGCCGTCCCGTTCGCAAAACTCCGGATCGCAAAGGAACCGGCTAGAAGTTCCAGGGTGGAGCCGGGATTCGGCTTCTGTCCAGCGACCCCCGGTAGTCACACCATTGCAGTGGGCGCCCCAGCCATGGAGACTTGCGTCTGAGTCCACCGTGAACTCCGGTTGTGAGCCGAAGATGGCCTTGCCATTCCAGGCGGATAGGTTGTGGATCCACCAGGTCATCTCGTCTCGGGATTCCGAGTCCAGGGAGACCAAATCTGCATATGAGGCCCCTTTGCGGAGATGGGCTATCTTCAGCCGTTGGAGGGCCCGATAATGGAGCGGGGCTGGGAACACTGCCTGGATAGAGGAGGCCAGTAGGCCAATAAGTCAAGCCAGGTGCCGCAACGACAGCTGGCGGTGCGTCAGGGCGCGTCGTAGTTCCTTGTGGATTGAGTGTATTTTGGCCGGAGGGAGACTGAGGGACTCCGCTTCCGAGTCCACCGTGAATCCTAGGAACTCCATGTGTTAGGAACGGGATAGGCAGGATTTTTCCACATTGGAATGTATAATTATAATAATTATAAGTGGGAGTTCTCCCAGAGACACAAGTAAAATATATTTATATATAAAAAATATAAACTATAATAGGCTGCTAATTATAAGGAAAGATTATCCTGAGAGAGAAGGTTTCCTGAGAGAGAGAGTTAATCACCCCAGGCTAGTTATAGCTAAAAGGGAGAAATGAGGGAGCTCACCAGGGTCCAGACCGGCAGATAGGAAGAGGACACGATGAGTGGGAGAAGAGTGAGTTATAGAAAATGGCCGCCGGCAATCTCGCGAGATTCACGGCGGAATTCTACCAGAAAAAGGAGAAAGAGCCGAACGTTCGGCGGGAAACAGTGAATGCATATGGAGCCATAGAGGAACACATAGCAGGGCGAATAAACCAGGCGTTCGCATAGAAATTCGAACGCGGCAACAGGAGAATAGAAGGTGAATAAGGAAATCTAGCGAATGGGAAAATTCGTGAATAGCTGAACAGTATGTGGAATAATAGGAGAATAGGCGTAAAGGGCGCCAAAGTGACAGGCAGACCGGCAGATAGGAGAAAGTGTAATGGAGGGAGTAAAAGGAAGCTCGAGAGCCTTACAAAGAGGTACCAATAAAGGTAGAAGTAGAATTAAGCCAGAGAAAAGGGGGGGTCTGGAACCCTGGGCTCAAACAAAATATACACCATAAAGTACACAACAATGCAAGCAAAAATTAACCAGTGAATGGTACAAGTTAACAGCAGAGAAATAGTCAATAGTGCAGAAAAACAGAAGACAAAAACCATAAGGCAATGATAAGAATAAATAGTCATGTACTTATCTGTTTGGTAGCAGCAAAGAAAAAGGAATTGGGTGGGGAGGTGCTGCCTATTATACTGGGACTTGATATGGGAGTGTCCTATCACTATGGTTACTGTTTTTTCTTACTGTTTGTATTCTTTGCTGCTATTGGTGGACAGTATAGAAAGGGATATGCAATATGAGCCTCCGTGTCTTGACATAAAATTCAAAACGGCTTGTTATTGTTTTATCTCATGATACTTTGTTCCTATCTATTATGTTGTTGTGACAGCAATATCTCACCAGCAAAAATAAAGAATTAAAAATAAAAAAATATATAAGAAAATACATACAGAAAAAATATCAATAATTTTAAAAGTTTATCCAAAAGTATTAAGTCATTTGGAAACCTTATTCAACTATGTTAAATCAAGCCTTTCATTTGATTAAATGCTTATTTTACCTAACACAGACTTAACTGCACTACATTGAATTCCCAGGTCTTACTCCCTGTACCTGACCTTATCTCCTGAACTTAAAAACAAATAAGAGCCATATTGAAGCTTACATATTTGTCAGTCATGGGGCTGAAAGAGAAATTGCTATATGGTTACTGCAAACAGCTGATTTTGATGCCTTCAGTGCTTCAGTGATGCCTGTAGGTCACCAATTTATTTCCAAATGTTTGCTTTACAATTAGTGATTGCAGGACTCATGAAGTTACTTGGATGAGGAGGATAGCATAAATGGAGTGACAGCCAAGTCAAGACACCAGAAACAGATAAGTCAATATAAGGTCTATTAGGAGTACCACAGAATGTGTGTATCTGTTGACACACTTAGTAAGCAATGGTGTGGGTCAGTGGTGTATTCTAGTTTTGTGCTGCCCTAGGCATGACCAAACTCAGGCACACCCCCTCCAAAAATCTTTTCCTGACAGACACACACCCTCACTGATACATGCACAGACATACACTCACTTACAGATACAGGTTACATACACAGTTTAACCAACACACGCTTTCCCTGAAACATACGCATTCACAGTTACACATTCACCAACAGACACACATATACACTAACATGCACACTGACAGAAATGCATACACTCACTCAGTGTCAGACACACACTGGGACACACTAACTGACAGCTACATACTGAAATATATATACACAACACTCACTGTCAGACACACACATTGACTGACAGACACACATACACACTGACACATGCTGAAACACGCATACATACACTGACAGACACACTCACTGACAAACACATACACTTTCATTGACAGACACACTCACACAGAGACACACACCTACCTTTAGGAGTGCTGAAGTGGATTCTTTGCTCTGGTCCAGTGGGGCTGGCTGCAGCTCGGCGGGCGGTCGGGCAGTCAGGCAGGCGCAGAGTGGAGGTAGGCGGCAAGGAAGCAGTGATCTTCCCTGCTTAGTTCCCTCGCGCGCCCCTAGTGATGCCGGGGCCGGAGTGACTTTATATTTCGGGCTCCGGCAACACTGAGCAGGGAAGAGCTCAGGGAACAGTGCTCCCTTGCTGCCAGCCTCGGGATGGAGCCTGAGGTGGCCAGTTCTTGGGCCCCCCAGGACAAGAGGCTGGCAAGGCATGGCCAGGGTGTTTGGGGGCAGCTTTTTTTTACCGCCCCCCTGAAAGTGCCACCCAAGGCAAATGCCTTGCCAGCCTCATAGTAAATACACTGCTGATGTGGATGCTCTTACAATGAGACAAATTGCGGTTCCTACTTAAAGATTAGTGTTGGAAGCAGAGGTGCAGTGTCAATGTAAGGTGCAGCAACAATGTCCATCTGGACTTTATTTGCGAGTGACATGACAATATTACAATAGGATCGCCCTTTGAAGACTGGGAACCATCTTGTCGATTCGGAAAATGTGAATGGAAGGCATCATTCAAATTAGCAGGATGGACAGCATCAGTGGGAATCCAAGAGTCTTCTTCTGGGCCATAACCTTTCCAGTGCACCAAATATTTGAGTCTACCCCTCGACACTCTACAGTGAATTATTGTTTGAACCTTGTATTGTTCCTGATCATTCTTGATCAAAGTACAGGGGCTCTTACATATCAAATGTGTGAGGAGTGATGTGTGAATCATTAGGAATTCACAGCGAAGGAGGAATATCCAAAGAGTAAGCTACTGGATTGATTCATCCATCAATGCACTTTGTTTCTAAACTTAATGGAAAGGCTTACGTAGGTTGGAGCTGCATGATGGCAACAATCTGCATTTTTTTTTTTTTTTTAGAGCTTAGTGTTCTTAGTGCAGGAATGCAGAAAATGCTGGCAGGTATCTAAGTGCAGCCAAATCGCAGTCCATACCCTTGTGTGAGAAGGCTAAGGGAACAAAGAGGCTGCGACCGGACCCCTGTTGTATGAGATGCTGGGAGAAAGTGACAGGGTGTGCACTTCCTGTCAGTCCGGCCGGGTCGCAGACCAGAGAGGAGCTCGGCCACGCTACAGGGAAGAGCAGGTGAGGAGAAGATTGGAGGGAGGGGGAGTATTACAAGGAGAGAGGGAGGAGGGGGGAGAATATTACAGGGAGGGAGGGAGGGGGAGAATATTACAGGGAGGGAGGAGGGGGGAGAATATTACAGGGAGGGGGGGGGAGAATATTACAGGGAGGGAGAATATTACAGGGAGGGAGGGGGGGAGAATATTACAGGGGAGGGAGGGGGGAGAATATTACAGGGAGGGAGGAGAATATTACAGGGGAGGGGAGAGTATTACAGGGAGGGAGAGGGGAGTACACAGGGAGGGAGAATATTACAGGGAGGGAGGAGAATATTACAGGGAGGGGGGGAGAGTATTACAGGAGGGAGGGAGAATATTACAGGAGGGAGGGAGAATATTACAGGGAGGGAGGGGGGAGAGTATTACAGGGAGGGAGAATATTACAGGGGGGAGGGGGGAGAATATTACAGGGAGGGAGGGGGGGGAGAATATTACAGGGAGGGAGGGGGGAGAGTATTACAGGGAGGGAGGGGAGAATATTACAGGGAGGGAGGGAGGGGAGAATATTACAGGGAGGGGGAGGTGAGGGTCTCTGGGGGGGTTACACAGCGCGGACACCGGCTGACAGACTGGCTCTAAGCCCTACCCTGAAAATAAGCCCTAGTGTGTTTTTTGTGACTAAAATATATATAAGACCCGGTCTTATTTTCAGAGAATCACGGTATCATATCTCCCCCCCCCCGTCTTTCCTCCAGGCTACACAGGTTAAAATACTTTAACCTTTCCTTTTAAAGGAAAACTCAAGTGCCAGGAAACCAATCCATTTTCCTGGCACTGCAGGTACCTCTCCCTCCCTCTTCCCATCCCAGGTAGCTGAAGGGTTGAAAACCCCTTCAGGTCACTTACCTGAGACCCCGCCAATGGTTTCGGGTCGGCGTCGCTCCTCCCAGTAATCGCGTCAACTGGTGGGCGAGACTGATTTATAAAAAAACTGCAATAATTACAGTTGCAGGGTTAAGAGTAGTGGGAGTTGGCACCCAGACCACTCCAATGAGCAGAAGTGGTCTGGGTGCCTGGAGTGTCCCTTTAAGTGTTATTATCTAATCCATAAACCAGTGTAGTAGCCCTTCTCTGAACGCTCTCTAAAGTATCAATATCTTTCTGAAGATACAGTCTCTAGTACTGCGTGCAATACTCCAAGTGAGGTCTCACCAGTGTTCTGTAAAATGACATAAGCACTTCCCTCTTTCTACTGCTAATACCTCTCCCTATACAACCAAGCATTCTGCTACCATTTCCTGCTGCTCTATTACATTGTCTGCCTACCGTTAAGTCATCTGAAATAATTGCCCCTAAATCTGTATCTATGTGCCAAGGTGTGTGTATCTGTCAGTATGTGTATCTGTGTGCCACTATCTGCCAGTGTGTGTACCTGTGTGTCAGATACAGATACACACTGACACATACACACACCTTGACACACAATGTGTATATGTATCTGTGTGTATTTGTACCACTGTGTGTATCTGTGTGTCAAGTTGTGTATGTGCTGGTTTGTGTCTATGTGTCAACGTGTGTGTATCTGTGTCAGTGTGTGTGTCGGTGTGTTTGTTTGTCAATGTATAAGTATGTATGTGGCAAGACATGTACAGTCATCTCAGCAATCAAACACCAATACAACACACACTCCTGCAAACACAAACATGACATAAATAGACACCCCTGAACTCTAACTCCAAAATTATATACACTCAAACATCAATACTACACACAAATGTACATCCACATTTAAAATCCAACACTACATGCAAATACACCTCTGCACACAAATGCTAACATTTCCACAGTGTTGATACACTACGTCAAAGGGTTCCACAGGAAACATTAATTGGGAACCCCTGCTTTAAGCAATGGAACATAATGTTCCATCTTGGAGAATGTACTGTAATTACTATAACTTTTTATTTCAGAGGCTGACAAATTATTACACACCGCTGCACTTTTTCTAGTGCGATGATATCCTCCCTTAGAACAGGTGCCCAAAATTGCATGGTTTATTCTCGGTGTGGTTATAAAGATGCAAAATTATATTTTCATCTGTTTTTATGCATTACAATACCATACTGGTCTTGCCTAGTTTGAGGTCTATAACTATTCCCAAATTCTTGTATTGTTTTTCCCGACTTGTGCATATCTCACCACAAAGTGGATAGCTTTGCATTTATCTCTATGAAATGTAATCTACCATTTACATGTCCAGTCCTTTAGTCAATCTATAGATCTATCTATCCCTCTGCAGCAAAGTAATATCTTGCTCACATTGTATTACCTTACCTAGTTTTGTATCATCTGCAAATACTGACACGACTTTCAATGCCTATTTTCTTTTTTAGATCATTTCTAAATATGTTGAGTAGAAGCATGAAAAGAAACCAGTGTTCTACCCAAGAACAAGATTTTTCATTTAGACCAATTTCTATTTATTTTAACTAATTTTGTGTGGAACTGCAGGAAATGTCTTGGCAAAAAAGTAATTATTTCTTCTTAGAATGCAATTAAGTTAGTTTGACAAGATCTAGGTTTCCTTAAATCGTGCTGATTTCTGCTAAACCATTGGTGCACCTGTTGTGCAATAAAGCAATGGCTCAGCTGGGGAATTTATCATGCTACCCAGCCAGTCTGCACACAGGTAAGGACCCGCAGGGCCTCTTGCAGGCCCCTGTTGCTAAAGCCCTTTTCCCCCTTGCCAATATCTAGAGCAGCATGCTGGTTGTTGTGCCTCTGTTATGGAAATGAACACAGTAAGAGTATGTATGCTGCCTGTAACACTGATCAGGGTTGGTCCGTGCCGCTGGTAATTAGTGCTACAAGCAACAAGTAAATTCCCCAAAAGCATAAGAATGGAAAAAAAATCTCATAAGTAATGTAATAGGGCTGGAGGAGAGAAAGGAGAAGTAATCAAATACAGGGCCGGCAAGACTGCTAGGCTAACTAGACAACATACGGTGTATTTGCATGGGGTGGGGGTGCTGTCTCCAGGTGACTGCCATTCAAATCATATAGTGTGGCTGAGCTGCGGATGAGGATCATCTGTTTCCTCTACCTGGTCTGATAGGAAGCAGTTTGGCGCTCCCTCCAAGCACTTCCTGTCAGACCAGATAAAGGAAACAGAAGATCCTCTACCGCATGGGGGGAGACCACAAAGGGACATGGTGAATAAAGAGGCTGGAGTCAAAGAGACACACAAGGGGGAGCTGGAGTCAAAGAGACACACAAGGGGGAGCTGGAGTCAAAGAGACACACAAGGGGGAGCTGGGGACAAAGACACTGTGGGATTCGGCGGGCAAAGTTGCTGGGGGACGGTACCAAAAGACACACAGAGGGGCTGTGGGACAACACCAAGAGATTCATGAAGAGGCCTGGGACACACAGTGGTGAGGGGGGAGCAAAGATACACACAGTGGCTATTGGGGGACAGAAAAACACACAAAGAGGCTGTGCAAGTAGTGGGTCTTGCCTAGGGTTTAAAATAGTCTTGCAACTGCTTTGATCAGCTATTATCTATAGGGATGTGAGAAGAGGAGAATAGGCTAAAATAGCTTAGGAAGGAGGTGAACTGTTGAGGGAAATGGAGTACTATTTCTTGAGGAGAATGGGATACAATAAATGTTGGAGAATAGGCTACTAGTTATGGGGGGGCGGGCTTGTGAATGGGTTACTACAGCTATGAAGGGAGAGGAGTACAATTAACTGTGAGCAGAGAACATGGGCTACTAGTTACAGTGGGCAGAGAATAGGTTAATTTCTATGTAGAGCAAGGGTGGAGAATGAACTACTAGCTATTGGAGTTTTGAATGGGCTACAGACAATGTGGGGTACAGGTACACCCTTGCATTCACACAGACAGAGCCACTCCATACAAAACATCCATGCATTCAGACACATCTACTCCCCTGCATTCAAGCACATTCATTCTCCCACATCTACACCCCTTCATTTCTGCACAAAGACAAGACCCTGCATTCATACACATATTTCCGTGTTCATGCACGCTGACCCACCACACATTTAAACAAGTGTTCACACAAACCTATATGGCCCTGCATTTACACACATATACAAGACCCTTGATACAAATATGCCCCTACATACACATATGGATCTCATGGACATACTTGAATGAATTAAAAAAAAAACAAGCACACAAGCATTTGTTGCGGCTTACAACTTTTTACACCTGGTTAGTAACGCAAGACCACGCATCAACACTCTTGCATCCACAATCAGTTAGTGTGGCAGCACATTAGCCAAGCTCGTCTTAAAGGAACACTATAAGGTCAGGAATATAAACGTGAATAAGTTAAAACCTCCCCTTTATACCAGCGGCGTGTGGGTCTGCCGACACCGGCCCTGCCTCCTTGGGTGACAATCAGAATCCCACAGGAAAGCATTGGATTGGCTGAGATAGTCAATTCTGATTATCTCAGCCATGGAAGCAGGGCCATATACTCTCTGACCATTTAGCATCTCCTCAGAGGTGCATTAAATCAATGCATCTCTGTGGGAAAAGTTTAGCGTCTCCGCTGAATGTCAGTTCTGCACCAGGAAGCACCTCTACTGGCAGTCTGAGGTTTAGCAAATGGAGTTGTCCCTAGGATGTAATGTGCTTTTTCTCTGAGAGGGCAGAGTTTACAGCAAAATGCCTGCAGGGATAGAGAGTAGACAACAGAACAAGTACACTAACCTGTAGTTATTTTGGTGATTCTAGTGTCCCTTTAATATTGGTTTGTTGTGGGCAGATTTAAAGGGACACTAAAGTCACCTGAACAACTTTAGCTTAATGAGGTTGTTCAGGTGAGAACTATAGCTCCCTGCAGCCTCTCATTTAAACACTGTATTTTCTGAGAAAATACAGTGTTTACATTGAAAGCTAGGAACACCTCCAGTTGCAGTCACTCAGAATGCCACCAGAAGGACTTCTGAGTTGATGGAGGCATAATATGCCTCCATCCACTCAGATCTGCTATGCACGAGCATCCTGTGATTCACTATCTCCTCCCACTGCATGCAGACACTGAACTTTCCTCATAGAGATTCATTGATTCAATTCATCTCTATGAGGAGATGCTGATTGGCCAGGGCTGTGTTTGAATCATGCTGGCTCTGCCCCTGATCTGCCTCCTTGTTAGTCTCAGCCAATCCTATGGGGAAGCACTGTGATTGGATCAGGCTATCACATGTCAGCAGACTGCTTGTTTTCCCTGAGTCTAACAGCATGCAGATTTACAGCTTCTGGCATGAATACAGTAAGATTTTTACTATATTTATGGGGGCACAAGGGGCCCAGATGGTCGTGTTAACACTATAGGGTCAGGAATACATGTAGTTGCACTGTGACTATAGTGTCCCTTTAAGGCCACCAATTCAGCCCATCATTACATCACATTTTGGGAGCTGGGCAGTCAGTGGTTAAAGGAACACATTAAACAACATAAGCCCTGTCATTGCTCCTTGGCTTAAAATCATTTACGTACTGTTTGACAAACCAGGGTGCTGCATGTCACCTGGGTCGTTTCTTCCTCAGCCACAATTCGTAATAAAACACTTCCACATTATGAGTGTCAATTTTAGCCAATCTGAATGGTTTTGAACTGGTTAATTCCAGTTTCACTTTGGCCAAGGATAGATGTTGAACAGGGGTACAGTGCCAGAACACTCTCTGACACAAACATTACAGTGACTTGTAATAGAGTGCCCCTTTAATGTGTAAGAAATGGAGCAATTCTTACACTAACCTATTTGTACAGGGGTTTACTTTTTTCCAGCCTATGCGTTGATTGGTTTTTAAACAATGCGATCAGTACTAGCAAGAAGCTTAATTCCTTAAATTAACTGCACTAAGCAGCAAAATAGTAACGATCAGGTTCCAGACTAAAAGGTTCCAGTTTGTATTGCAAATAACATGGAACCGAATTTCCTCATTATTTCAGTAGAGGTAGAGTTTGAGCACAGGGAGAGTCTTGGTTTTGTTTTACTTTCAACCATTTGACAATAAGTGTAAGAACTGCATCCTAAGTCTCCTTACATCATGACTCCAAGGATGTTTTTATAGTACTTGGCCTGTAAGCAGGGGCAGACTGACAACTCACCGGGTGCTCGTGCAATGGGAAACCAAGGGCTCCCTTCTGGTGCAAAGATATTTAGGCTACTGTTCTCACCCTTTTTTGTGTGGCTCTCACATAGATATATGCATGCTACTTGGCACCGATAACGGCTGTGTGAGAACCACACAGTCATGACTGCTACCCGCAAGGCCTCCAAACAGGGTCAGACTCAGATTTGCTTTTAAGAGGTTAATCCAACACTGTTTTTAAACGAAGTAACCCTTACTGGCATGCCTTGCGTATGTGGATGAGTCTGTTTACAGTGTAGTATGTGTGTGGAGACAGCTGGTTGTGTTGCAGTGTGTGTGGTAGGTGCTGTTGTATGTGTGTGGGATAGGGGCTGTAGTGTGTATTTTTATGGATAATATAGGCTGTACTATATGGGGGATATAAAAGCAGCTGTTTGTGTGTGTGGATAGTGACTGCAGTGTGTGCATATGGGCTGTATTAGGTGCATGGGGGGAGGGTATAGTGGCTGCAGGAGTGAGAGAGGCTATACAGGGTACTGGAAGGTCTAGGGGCTGTAGTGGGTCCAGTAAGGATCTGTAGGTGTATGGAGGGGTAGGGGCTGAGATGGGTGCAAGGAGGGATAGGGCTGTGGTGGGCGAGTGATGGATAGGTTCTGAGGTGGGAATGGGGCTGTGGTGGGTGAAAGGGGGTTGAGGTGGGTGCTGGTGGCTCAGGGTTGGATATGGGCTAAGGTGGGTAAAGGGGGGCTGATGTGAGTGCTGGGTGGGATAGGGACTAAAGTTGGTGCTGGGCTGGCTAGGGCTGAGATGGGTGCTGAGGGAGATGTGTCTGAAATGGGTGAAAGGAGGAATAAGGGCGGAAGTGGGGATTAGGGGCTGAGAGAGATGGTGGCTCGGGTTGGGTTCAGGGCTCAGGTGGGTTAAGGGGGAGATGGGAGCTGATGTGGGTGGAGGTGGGCATGGAGGCTGAGATGGGTGCTGAAGGAGATGGGGCATTTACATACCTGCCGTTTATGCCAGGCTGTGCCTTAGCTTCAGCCACTCAGCAGATGCAGGAGAGGGCAGGAAGTGATGTAACTTCCCCTCCTCCCACACAGAGCTCCGCCCAGGGAGAGGATGGAGGAGACCTGGCAAGATTGCTGCCAGGTATCACTCAGTACGCGAGGGGGACACTTTAGGGGCAGCCTATCCTGTGTAATTGTGCCTCTGATCTCTCCAGCCAGAGAGAGTATGGCTGTTCAGCCAGCTGGACCCCTGACTGCTTCGGTCCATGACCGAGCTGCCCGGGTGGTCAGTCCGTCAGTGGCTGATGGTGCAGAAGAAGGGGTGTTATAGTTTATACTCCGCTCTATAGTATCATGCATGCACGAGATTACAACACAGAGGACTATAGACAAAGCCTTTTAGTGATGCCTCAGGGCTAGACGGATATGATGGCAAATGAAAATAACGCACATCCTTACACTGGCTATTTTCTTTTAGAGGTCTAGCCTCTAATATCTGGGATTACAGAAAATCAGCTTAATAAAAACAAACTTAAGTTTGGACCAGTTCTTGAACTTGATCTAGAATTGTGCTGGGATTTATTAACCAAAGTCCAATGGTAAGTGCAGGTCAAGTTGAGTTTAGTTTGAGAACTGACAGTATTGCAAATCAGCCATCTACAAAAACCCAACTGGAACCCTACACAAAAACAAAGCAAAGTTGAGATTCAAAATGATTGATTTAAAAAGCTATGTTATAGAATCAAAGTCTACCCATATTAACTATGCCAAGTTGATTATTCAGCTAATCTCTTATTACACGCAACTCAAATTGGTTGCGTTTTTAATTGACATATTTGTGTCTATTATTAAATTTGGCTTACCTAAATTTCTATCTAAACTTGTTTTCCCATGGAACCACAGCCACTCTGAAAATTACTTAACCATTATATATTAGATTTAAAGTAGGGCTCACAATGTCAAGCCCTATGTACTATTCAGGTCTAGCAAAGTTCCTTCTGTAACGTGACACCAGTAACCGATATCAACGCAAAGCTGCTCTGCTTCCAACTGCGAACTACATATATATATAGTCTTTAACACTATGTTTACTTGCATATTAGACAATAAATGAAATGTAAAACACTAGTTATATATTTGCAAGCATTATGACTAGTAACTAGTGGCATCATACAGATACCTAGTCTCCATCCCAGAGCCAAAGGGAATCGAGATGGAGACTCTGGGACTGCTGTCTGCTATTACATGTCTACTAAATTTAACTTAAAAAAAAAAGTAAGGCTTTCTGAGTATTCAATTACACATAGGTCTTGTAAGAACTTGTAGGACAGCATTTCAAGACTGACTAAAAAGGTTCTGAATGCAAATCATTACCCTGCTCCTTACTGGGGCTTTAACATCGCTATATACTTAGAGAATTTCATTACTCTGTCCATCACCTGACAAAAGTCAGCCCTTTACATCTACAAAAGAAAGCTTAATTAAAATAAACAAACAAACAAAAAATAGGGGGCTCTATTTGAACACTGATACATTTCCATATTTACTAGTAGAACATACATGAAAGCATTACTCAATGTTACTTTGAGAGTTTTTGTAGCCTATCCTCAACTACATCCTCATTCTACTGCAATCTTTACAGCAAAAAAGGTTGCTGTAGTATTTTGTCCAATCTTTTTTCTCAACTCTGAAATAACAAAATAACATTTCACGCATGCCTAAAGAATTCAAATTGAAATGAATGAAAAGCATTTGTACATGTGCAACACCATGGTCAAGCCTTCCACTTATTGGAGATGAACGGTTTACGGAGCATTCACAATTGCTTTCAATTAAGTTCTAGGAGGATTTAGCCTACATGTCAATACCAACGTGTTCCTGATTGAACTCAGTTGGAAAAAGTTACAGTTGTGACTGTAGAGTTTGATGTCACATCTAGAACCATGCTTTTTCATGTATGTAATTGTTAACATGCAGATTCCAAAGTATCAAGCATCCCTTAGAAGTAAACCTGTTCAATCAGTGTAGTGTGTTGATAAAATTGCATGTCATAACGGTTAAGTTTTCTACCATGTTGTAATATCACCCCTGTGACCAGCTCAACCTGGAACCAGACATTTTAATAGCTATAATGATAGTGACAGCAAAATGAGGCAGGATACTTCGGACATCACTCAGTACAATGCGATTACTATTTTTATTCTTAGTGTCCCAGAAGCATGGTCACTAAAAATTTCAGGTGTTTCAATTTCTTTTCTGAGGACGGTGATTCGAAAGGTATAACACTGCAAAAAAATAATCCGAGTCCCTAGGTGGCAGTATCTTACAACGAAATCACAGTTCCTCAGTTGGTTTTACATATTTTATCCAGGGATCAGAGTTTCATGCAAAGGCTTTATGGGGCAGGGAAACAATGTTTACATTGCGCAATGCATATACATAGAATATAGTAGTTGTGCCCCAGTGTTCAGGGCTTTGTATGTGTCAAAGTACAAATGGACGAAAAAAAAAAAAAAAAAAATCACTATTTCTTTAATGTCATGCACACCACAAAACGCATTGATTCAGTCAGTTTTATACAAAATAACAGTGCTTAATTTAACCAGTTACTGAAAGAAAAATTAAAACATGTTTTGAAACCCAAGTTTAATAAGGCATGCTCTCTCTGTGGGAGGGAGGGGATATGGTTACACGATTTGTGAACTATGATTTGGAGATTAGTTTTCTATATTTGGGGCAACAACAGGTATAGGGAAACATGGTAGATGAAACTACACAATCAGCTGTGTGTGTGTTCTCTGCTAAGTCATTATTTTCTTGCAAACATCTTATATATATCCAGAGAATGATGCAACTCCTTTCTGAAGAAACTGTAGATTTAATTTTCATTTACTTAAGAATTAAGTTACATGCCTTTTTGTCTTGAGATCTACCAGGCAGATTTATGAGAATTAACATGCTCAAAAAACAAACCAAAAAAAAAAGAAAGTGTACAATGAAGATGCTATGGCCAAGTTAGAATTAATGCAAAAGTAAACTTGACAGTGCCAGCATTTCTTCCAATTATTAAGCCTATGCTCTGGAAACACGACAATAAAATAGCAAAACCAGACCATAAACTATAGCATTGAATGGAAAACAGCATTGGTAGTCACAAGGTGCATATTGCAATATGATTCAGCATTAGTCACAGTAGCAGTTAATGCTAAATTATGCTGCGATCCCTGGCATAGCATCCTAAGAACGTATATGAAAATGTTAGTGGGTAGTGTTTCAGCCTTAAGACTTTCTCCTGTTCGGTTAAAACATCTGCCTCTGGCTTAAGCATAATGAGGCAGATCTAAAAGCCACTCAAAACTCCCTCTGATAGCCAAAAATGGTCAGCAAGTCATGTTTCTATTGTCAGAATGATTTCTTGACTTGTGGCCAGAAAAGGGATTGCATTTTGTGTGATTGGAATGTTGAAAGATATTGGTGTGTTGTTGTTGGCAAATCTACATAACCCATCCTGAAGCAAGCTTTGTAAGCATCCACGCACAGTGCATAGTACAGGATGGTGCTCACCTAACGTCCCTGCCCAACATGGCACTTCCTATTTGTAAGACTAGTGCTAGCACTGCAAAGACTTTAATGTCAGAGACTTCCACTTTCATTTCCATGGCAGCATGTGGAGAAACATCTTTGGCATTGAAAGTCTTAGTGCTCATAACAATAAAAACTTTTTTTTTTCTTTTTAAATCTTTTACATTCCTAAAAACAGCCCTCCCACCTCCCGACAACCCAAAAAACTTCGAAGTCTGTTGTGTACGCAACACTGAACAAAATAGAAAAACTATTTTACATAAAAAAAATTTGCACATAAAAAGCGTACACTGCAGGTTAACCTGCCATATATGAACATAATTTATATATCTATATTTATATGTATGTATAAAAAAACATTTCTGTGTGGCAGCTTCACATCAATAAAGCGAGGAGCTGCCGGCTATGAGAAACAAAAGATACAATATTGGCTTTTTTTTTAACCAATCCAATTGGTTGCTGGTCACTTTCAAATGCTCTGTGCACACAGCACCAACATATTAAAACCTAAAAAAAAAATAAAAAAATACCAACCAAAACAAACCCCAAAATAAACAAAATATAAGCAGTACTACTTATAAATGCTTTAAAAAACAAAACCCCAAAAGACAAATATACTAGTATCTATATATATATATATATATAGTTTTTCTAACTAACCCTAGAATCTGCAAGGTGGCCTGTAATACACGCCTCTAGATTTTGCTCATACAGCTGTACATTATTCACACCGTTAACCCTTTAGAGGTTTAAAGTATATGCAACTTAGACTATTCCCCAATTCTTCTGGTCTTATGCATTCCATGCTGAGAGTACTAGAATGACATGTTCCCAATTTCCTTTACTGTCAGGCTTTCTGTCAAAGGAATTGCTGGCTTTTACTTTGGCAATTCCATTTTATAAATCCACGGCTTATCGGTTTTGAGTAGTAAGCCTCTTAAGTGCAATAGAGAAGACTGCAAATCCTTGCAATACCAGCAATAACAATTAGCTAAGCATGCTGCTATGCATCACAGGTTCCTTGATAAGTGTTAGGGTTAATGGTAGCAACAAGGCTTTAAAATTTTGTGTCCCCTGAATGGCCAGGAGAAAGGGGATACTTAAATAGACGGTGGCCAAAACAAACACCAGATTTGCTAAACAAAATGCATGGTTAATAAACCTGTAAAGCTTATTCACTGGAATGATTGTTTAATGCACACTTATTAGGCTATGTCAAAATAAATCTATCCCTATGTCTTGTTCATGGCTTATCTATCCCATCATATAAGGGTCTTCCAAACAACCCAAGCACTGAAATCATTTGGATCTAGTGTTGGTAACAACTGGAGACCAAAGTGTGACCACCAATTTAAGAAATTTGGGCGGGGGCTTCTAGCAATAATAGCTGTAAGGAGTGGCAAAGATGTGTCTTACCGTAACGATTACTATTGCCCTACTTTTAAGGAACACTTAAATTAAGAGTTGTGCACGGTCTGTAAGAAGGCACAAGACAGGGATAAAAAGACAACTCACATAGCTGGAGGGGTAGATTTTAACCCCGTTTGTTTCAAGTTGCATGGCCCCCCTCTGGCAGTGAAAAAGGTTAGTTTGCACACACATTGGTCGCCAACATTAGAAGACGGAAGAAGTCTAAAACGTTTCAGCTTTTTTTTTTAAAACACAATTTAGAAAAGAGAGCAAAAAAAGGATCATAACTGAACTGCCCATTACCTTTACATGTGCAGAATGCGTGTACTGTTTGGGCAAACAGCCCTGTCAAATACAAAATTCAAAAATAAATCATGGCAGTGACCAACTCTAATTATTTTTGATATACATTAGGAGCTCAACATGCAGTGACTTTTTTTCTCCAGTTACATGGTGTCCTTTTCAAATGTTCTGTGTAGGTAGGTGAAGGGCATCAGCAGTAAGTAATGTCCCCTCCCATAAACTAGAAATCAGAATTTCATTAGCCCTCTTTCAGGAACAGTGATTGTAAACCATGTATATGTGTTGGTGCATGCGTACAATTTTGTTTTATCTATATATGCATAAATAAAACATCTTGCACACATGTCCTGCATCATATCTGGCAGTGTAACCCTCTTTCAATGAAATGTCACATTTCCCAACCCCCTATCTTCTCCAAGTCAAAAACTGGTACTGGGGCAGGAAGGCAATATTGCACAGTGTTGACTCCTTGATGTCTGGCGATATGTGGCAGTTTGGGAGGCTGCAGAAGTACGCAGCTCAGCGACAAAAGGGTGGCTTTTGGGGGGTGAGGGGTGAAGCATCCTACAAGTGGAAGACAGGTGCAATATGCGCCATTGTTGGATGAAGTAATAAGGTGTGGCACACTGATTGGAAATAGGATCCCTTTCCCAGCTCCACTGTCATTGGCACAGGATGGGGTGTCGGGGTGGGGTTACAGTGGGAGAGGAACAAGCAGGGGTTTAGTGTTTTCAGGAGACAAGAGTTAGGAAAAGCAGTGCTATTACATGCATACATACAAGACAAGAAGGACAAACAGAGTTGGAAGGTATAGAGGAAAAAAACACTCATGCGCGGACTATGAACATATTAACAAGAGCAAGTGTAAATAGATGTAAAAAGGAATACATGATCAAATACTTGAGTATTAAGAAGATCATTTGCGTGACTATTCTTGAAGGTTGCAATACACGTAAAATATATTTTTGTTGTACCTTATGGCTGTAGTATTAGTGAGAAATAGAATGCAATGATTGTACGAGAAGAGACTATTTTTACATATACACAGAACTGGTAATTGAATTTATACTGTAATTGCTTTCTTACTCTCTGCTCTGTGTTAATGTTTAAATGAATACTGTTTATAGCGGTATTTTTTGTTATTGTATTTTTACAGAAAATATGGTACATGATTGTTGCGAACTTTAAAGCAGTGTGCACATATAGACAAAGTGTGGGATGGTACACGTGAGAAGAAAAAAAAAAGTGGTCTATATGTGTTCATTTAAGTCTTGCTGAATTTGACATGTGGCATATTGTATGAAGAAAGTCTGCATTTGGCTCTGAATCCGATGAGAATGAGTGGATGACTGAGATGTAATGGGGAAAGGGTAGCGAGAGAACAGGACAGCAGGGGTGGGAGCGGTGACCTCAGAGATACCCAGCTGGGGAGGGCTTTAAGTTTGGTGTCAAATGGAGGTCTCCACGCTGTGCATGGGGCTTTCATATGGCGACACTGTGATATCCAGTGGACGCTGTTCTGTAGAGGAGTTGTTGTTATGGTTGTGCGTCTGGTCGTCGCGTCCTTTAAGGAGACCCCGAGATTCCTCACCCTCGCTGTCGCTGTCTGTGAGCGAGGGGGCAGATCCCGCCTCCGGGTAAGTCATGAAGCTATGGATGGCACTGCGGTTCTGTGGCTTCTCCAGCCCCTCATACAGGGAGCTGCGGAACGCATTCACCACTTTAATCTGTTTTGGGTAAAAGAAGAAGAAAGTATTAATGGGGGAGGCAACAGGTTAAGGAGATAATGGAAGAGTGCTTCAGAGACTTACAGCGATTAGAGGACTGAAGGAGCAAGGTTAGAAGACAGAAATGAGAGAAACAGAAGAGGAAAGTGGGAATGTAACAAAAGTGGAAGAAAGAGAACAGAAATATACAAAGAGAAGAATAGTTTCTTGGCACCCACTGGACAAATAAAAATAAGTAAACATAAATAACAAATGGAATTTAAAAAGATTGCAGGTGAATCTTCGCTGGTCTGAGACTTCGATCAGAGAGAGTGAAATAAAATGATATTTTGGGCAGCAGCTTTTTTCATGACATCAAGAACAGCACCCTGAAGAGATTTTTTTGTGTTTTTGTTATTTTAATAGGTTTTTTGAAATGTTTTGATAGGAAGGGATTAATGGATTAATTCAAAATGAGCATTTTAAAATAAAAATAAAATCCATGACACAAAAAAACTAAATCAAAATCACAAAACCACACAGAATACAAATCCATCAAAAACAAAACAAATCAAGGCAATTTTGCCCTCCAAACACAAATTCAAAATAAATCTGTGCACTGAAAACACAGTCATACCACATAAGGATAGAGATAGCTTTGGCATGAGAAAATCCTCAAACCACCAATGTATATACAGTCAAGCATCAAAGTTGCAGTCCCAGTCAGCTCTTAGAATTCACAGTTATAATCACAACATCCTTTTCTCAGATTTAAAGGATGAGAAGCTATAAGAAAGACATCCACGTGTAGCCCTCTCACTGAAAGGGAAACTGCAGGTGGAAAGCCAGTACAATGGGTGCTGATTTTTATTATGGCAAAAAAGCTTCTCTCTTTATGCCTACATACATTAAACAATTTATTAACACGAATAAGTGATGTTCTTCCTTTTTTTTCCCTCTTGCCCCAAAATAAAAATCAGCCACCTGATAAGTTATAAATATCCACAATGAAGTAAGTGAACAAGTTTGCAAAGGACATGTTTGGTTATAAGAGGGTCTGCACCTTTAATCTGCACATCACACAATAATCAGAACCACACTAGACTAGCAAGCATGCACATATTGCAGGCATCATTACATTCCCATGCAGACATTCAGCCAAATATTGAAACTGCACTGTGGCGCAACTGGGATTAAATATTTTTGCAGGACACAAGTTTTTTTTTTAAGGAACAATCTCCATAGTAAAGATATACATGAATCCAAGATGCCTGTGAAATTTGATGTTGAATTAATGCTGAAAGAAGCATTGCCGATGTGTTAGTACAAGGTTTATAGCAGAACCGTACTCAGTTATTGCCACAGTGTGTCGGTATTGCATCAATGCTAAGCATAAAAGGGAAACCAAAGCTGCGTGCATAATGAATGCAAAATAAATAAAAATTATTAGTGTTACCTATGCATTTAATAGCAAGGGTACAAAAACAAGATTTTGGTAGTTAAAACTTTAAATTAACTAATTTTGATTACCTAATTAATTCTCACATTACTTGTTCCTAGTAAGCTTCGATAAAAATTTGGGGAAAAAACAAAACATCTGGTCCTTTTTAAAGCATGTATAGTATGACAGCCTCTCTCGTGAGTGGATTATATCTTTATTCTTTATGACATATGTTTTTTTGACAGCAGCCGTTGCACCGTTACAGGAGAAAACTCCTTAAGTCATGTGTCCTTTGTACAGTCCTGTTAATGAACAGGTGACCAAACAGCCTTCTGTATATATATTATTTTCTAAACTTTCTAGACTAAAATCTGCATTGGAAATGATTATGTAGCATGCCTCAACATTTTCAATTCACAGTTCCATCATGTTATTTTTTGGAAGTGATAACAAAAATGGCTAAGCATTTTCTAGGTGGAGTTTTGTCAATAATTTATAAAGAGGCAAAACACTAAATACGACAAATATGACATGGGTACAATAAAACAACAATTTTTACCCACTGATTTTTAGTGCAGATCCCTTACATGTTGCTACCATTGGACCATTGCACATATTTTAATATATTTTTTTACTATATTTTTGAATACCAGCCTTTCGATGCTGAAGGCAATAGCCGATGGAAATCAGAACGGGAGACCAGTGCTAAAAAATTAGCAGCACAAACTTCACAGTAAATAGATGGATTCTTTAATAAGGCCAAAAAGGCAACACTTTTGACCCAGTCTTGGAAACTCTACACTATTTGGTGTAATTTCACCTATTTGTTGGCTGTAATAGAGGATACCTTCATCTATTTAAAAGTCCTGTGCTTTTTTTCCTATAGCCGCCTGACATTGGCCACATTATTTGGGTATATATTTATTTGGATAAATGTACTTATCTCAAATACCCAAAATAATTCTTAGGTTGTACCGGGACTGTGCTATAAACAGAAAAATAAACCAAAATAAATACTAACTCCCTAATCATCTGAAATGACTAATTTTAATGAAAACTGGAATGTTACATTTTGCCTTGTTTTACTGCACTAGGACATTATTCCCTATTAAAAGTGTGCTTTTGCAGTGTTTATGTAAGCGGGTCTGCCACCTGCAAAGAAAAGAAGAAAGAAAAAAACAAACAAACAAAAATAAACTTAAAAGAATAAATGTAAAAAAAAAAAAGATACAAAAAAAAAAAAAGGAAAGAAAAGTTCCCCATCACCAGGGTGGGTCAAATCCGTGCCTTTGTTAGATGATTAAGTTATTTGGAAAGGGACAGTGTTAAGAAACAGACAGATAGAGCAGTGACCAGCAGCCGAAGTGCACAGCATGCATTGTAATAGTGTTGAACTCACTGCCCACAGAAGTAGCAGCAGCAGAAGTGGCTGGGGGAGAGGTAGCAGAGGACAGAGCTACGTGTGTTGGGCTAGAGACATGTTTAGCATCGAGGTGCTGGCTAATGGTGGAAGGCTGGCGCCTCAAAGCCCCTTGTAAAGAGGTACCGCCCGTCTGGAATGTATAAACTACGTCCATCTGTAAGGAATCAGAGGGAGACACACTAAAGTCAGAAAGAGGAGGAAGGATACAGAAAATGAGAGAAGAGAGGGAAATGAGCAAGATATATTAAGATCATCATATTTCATGATAAAGAGTGATAAATAAAAATCACAGTAAGGCGGAGACTTAGAAAATGGGACACATTAGGGGCAAATAGAGGAAAGAAATTTTAATGCCATATAAAATAGCGATTGTTTAGAATGGAATAAAGACTCTTTTAAACATATATGAGAAATTGAAACAAAGAATAACAAAACAATGGTGTTATCCCATCGCTCAAAGACGAAAGAACAGTAAGATACCAGCAGGCCTTTAAAGCAAAGTTTCAAAGGGTGAGCATAGCTGTGTAGTACAAATTCCATCAAACCAACGTATCTAGATTCACTTGTTAAAGCGGTGGGATCTTATCCAGAAGAAAGTCATCCTCCTAATATCATCCAGATCCCTTAATTAACAATCTTTATTGCATTGTAATATTAAGAAAACAGACTATTAAATAGCAATTCTCACTGAGTTTTGGGAAATGGCTGATATTCCCACTAACTTTAATTAAGATACCAAATTTAGCCCTTTTGTTGTCAATGTGAGAACAAATAAAAACAAATAAACAAAATAGAATAAAGCATTGTAAATAAAGTTGTTGTTTTTTGTGACTCTGTAATCCTTGAATCCTCAAAGTTTAAAAAAAATAAAAACAAACATTTATAGAACATCAGTGGTGTACTGTTTACAAATATATGGAGATGTAAAAAAAACCAAACCAAAAACAACAAAAAAACAACTCCCCAGTAAACACAAAATTTACCAAAAAAAAAAAAAAGACAACCTACATTTGTTTGAAAATAAAAAGTATAAACATACAGATTTGGGTGATGCATTGTGCAAAGATCTATTTCACAGGCTTATTTCCAAAACTTAGAATTTTTTTCTTTGTTACCTAAAAATTAGGGTCTAGTGAATATCTTTGTAAATTTAAAATTGTGCGGCAACGAAAATATTTATATAGAGAGACTAGTAATGATGGGAATGCGGATGTCTAACACATGCTTAAAGCACCACTATAGTGCCAGGAAAATATACCCCACCCTCAGGGTCCCCCTCCCGCCAGGCTCTGGGGAGAGGAAAGGGTTAAATCTTACCTTTCTCCAGTGCCGGGCGGGGAGCTCTCCGCCTCCGAGACAGCCACTAGAGGATTTGAGGGCTTGATTAACCCATTTATAAACATAGCAGTTTCTCTGAAACTGCTATGTTTATAAAAAAATGGGTTAACCCTAGCTGGACCTGGCACCCAGACCGCTTCATTAAGGTGAAGTGGTCTGGGTGCCTAGAGTGGTCCTTTAACTTTGTACTGACTGCTCGGAGCCATTTACTATAATATTTTATGTTTCATGTATACAAAATATCTTTTTGGCTCAGCTGTTAAGCAAAATGACAAGTCAGGGATTTTACTTCAACAGATTCAGAGATTTCTGGCCTATTACTGCAAGACCGGTAATCTATGGAACAAGTTCATAGTTCATCTGTGTGATGCATTGAAAAAGCTTATTAAAAAAAAAGCAATTGGCCGGACATCTGTGGTGGTATGAGGTGCTAAAAAAAAAAAAAAAAAAGTGGTAAATGGCTCAAATATAGAACGTACCTGCGTCTGTATGCGGTTCAGACCTCTGAACCATAGGATTTGGCCTCTCCTTAGCTCCATCTCTCCATGGTCTATTTCATCCGTGCCGTCTTGGAGCTCCTCATGCTGAAGGTCTTCTTTCATTGGACCATGACCAGCCGATTTCAAAAACTTGAGTCGGCTGGTGGGGACTGAAGAAATCAACTGCAAGGAGAAGAGTGTCAGGGGATATATGAAAAACAATGAAGATGAAAAAAGAAGCGGAGAAGTTTTGGAGCAATAATTTTTAAAGCTTGTATGTAGACTCAAATTGAGAATGTCATGCCATCATTTGGACAAAAAAAAAAAAAAACGCCAACAACAAAGAAAAACAACCCACCAAACCTCAGATGCATACACCTCAAAAAAAGCAGTGGAGATCTCTTTGATGCATACGAATCTAATGAATTTATACTTTCTTGTTTTATATATTGCTATGTAAACTTGATCAGTGAACTAATCTTACATTTGAAAAATGAGCACCAAGAATATTATTTTGGTTTCTGTAAAAATAAAAAAAAAAATAATAATTTCTGCGTTAGAAACTAGTTGGATATACAAGGAAGATATTTGATGATGTACCATATGTAAACAAAGAAACTTTAGAAGGAAAAAAATGAAGAGAAGATAGACTCACCTGACCCCAAAGCAGCTCTCCAACTCCAATAAATATGCACCAGAACCACTGAGACAGAGTGAGGCCCGAACAGCTGAATGGCTTTCCTCCAAATTCTACAATTATGATCTGTAATCAAGGAGAAGTTGACAAATTAAAGAGACACACAAAAAAACAAACAAAAAAAAAAACACATACTACAATGCAGAGACAATACAAGGACACTATAGGCACCCATACCACTTCAGCTTATGGAAGTGGTCTGGGTGCACTGTCCCCTTAACCCTGCAATTGTAATTACACCCTGTTCCAAATTATTATGCAAATTCTATTTAAGTGTCACAAAGATTAAATATTCTGTTTTTCAGTTTAACTCATGGATGGCATCTCAGGGCTCTTTTGATCACTGAAAACAATCTCTGACACCTGTGATAATTAGATTGCCAGGTGAGGCCAACTTAAGGAAAAACTACTAAAGGAGGGTGTTCAACATTATTAAACAGAGCTCCATTTTCATGCAATATGGGGAAGAAAAAGAATCTCTCTGCTGCCGAAAACAGTGAAATAGTTCAATGCTTTGGATGAGGTATGAAAACATTAGATATTTCACGAAAACTTAAGCATGATCATTGCACTATTAAGAGATTTGTGGCTGATTCAGAGCACAGACGGGTTTGTGCAGATAAAGGCACATTGAGGAAGATTTCTGCCAGATCCATGCATCTGATCAAGTGAGCAGCTGCTAAAATACCATTACATAGCAGCAAACAGATTTTTGAAGCTGCTGGTGCCTCTGGAGTCCCACTGACATCAAGGTGTAGAGTCCTTCAGAGTCTTGTAACTGTGCATAAACCTTCTATTCGGCCACCACTAACCAATGCTCACAAGCAGAAACGGCTGCATTGGGCAGAAAAAAATATGAAGACTAATTTTCAAACAGTCCTGTTCACTGATGAGTGCCGTGCAACCCTGGATGGTCCAGATGGATGGAGTAGTGGATGGTTGGTGGAAAAGTCTGCGACGTCAGCAAGGCGGTGGTGGAGTCATGTTTTGGGTCGGAATCATGGGAAGAGAGCTGGTCGGCCCCTTTGGGGTCCCTGAAGGTGTAAAGATGACCTCTGCAAAGTATGTGGAGTTTCTGACTGACCACTTTCTTCCCTGGTACAGAAGGAAGAACTATGCTTTCCTTAATAAAATCATCTTCATGCATGACAATGCACCATCTCATGTTGCAAAGAATACCTCAGCATCAATGGCTGCTATGGGGATAAAATGAGAGAAAGTCATGGTGTGGCCTCCATCCTCCCCTGACCTCAATCCTACTGAGAACCTTTGGAGCTTCCTCAAGCAAAAGATCTATGAGGGTGGGAGGCAGTTTACATCCAAACAGCAGCTCTGGGAGGCTATTCTGACATCTTGCAAACAAATTCAAGCAGAAACTGTCCAAAAACTCACAATTTCAATGGATGCAAGACTTGTGAAGCTGCTATCAAATAAGGGGTCCTATGTTAAAATGTTGTTATAAGTTTGATTGAAATAGCTTTTGATTTCAGTAAATATGCTGCAAACACAAAAGTGTTTTGAAACTTACTGTGCGTAATAATTTGGAACAGTGCATTGTAAGTTTTTTACGTTTTAAAAAAAATACTGTAATCATTAGGAGGTTTGTTCAATAAAATTTGAATTGTACTCTTATTAGTTGATAAAATGAGAATTATGCTGACTGTTATTTACATCAATTATTTAGTTAAATGAGAAAAATATCATTTGCATAATAATTTGCAACAGGGTGTATTGTAGTTATTTATTAACTGCAATAATTACCTTGCAGGGTTAACTCCACCTCTTGTGGCTTTCTACCAGATAGCCACTAGAGGTACGTTCGGGTGGATAGTCGACTTTCACGCTCGGCCCGAGGACATGCTGCTTCATCTGAAATTCCATAGGAAAGCACCGAGCAGTGTTTACATATCAGGTAGTCCTAATGTCAGCACGATGCTTGCCGCACTTGCGCATTAGGTCCTCCCCGACTGACATCGGTGGAGGAGAGGAGGCAGAACCTGATGCAGCACAAAGGGACATCGCATTGCAATAAGAATCAGGCAAGATTTTTAACCCTTCCAGCACCATGGGGGTGGAGGTCATTGTAGGTCACTTTAGTGTTCGGAAAACAACTTTTTTTTTTTTTTTTTTAGCACTATAGTTTCTCTTTAAGTGAAAAGCCAAGTGATTTGCCAGTATAGATGGAATACTGAGAATGAGTCAAATCCAGTTTTTAATAGAGAAAAATCATTAGTTACTTCTACTAATTATATTCGTGTTTATACCTGTGCCCCAAAAGTACCCAGTACCACTGCACAGAAGATGGGGTTACGGAAGATACTGTCAAAGACATTGCGCTCTCCATGTATCTTGCGAGCATTGATCTCATTAAACAGCTGCATCATAACAAATGTGTTGAAGACGATAGTGTAGTGCTCTGAAGGTGGTGAGTGTAGGGGTACATTCCTTCCACTGTCAATGTCGAAAAACTTCTCACCTAAGTAGAGATCAGATTAAATGAAGCGACATAAAGAAAACCGGTTTGAAATAGGACATTAATAAAAATATTAACATGATTATATGGCTGCTATATATAGACACTATCTTATCAATCAAAATAAAACCTTTCTAGTAATGATGAGTACTTGGAATAGGAACATTATCCCAAGAGGACCAAGATTCAAAGTATATTTCTAACCTGCAAAAAGCAGAGTGAAGATGATAGTCAGTTGATATACAGCATGTCCTAGTATGTTCTTCATCATGGTGCGAGAGATAAGTGGTTTGTTGCGTCCATATGGTTTGCGTAGGAGCAGTGACTGAGTAGGAGGTTCTGTTGCTAGGGCCAGAGATGCAAATGTGTCCATGATCAGGTTGACCCACAGCATTTGTACAGCCTTTAGTGGAGAATCCTGCACCAAATAGCGTTAATGTAAATAAATATATAAAAAAAAAAAAACAAAAAACAAAAAAACAATCTTAACATCTTAATAACAAAAACAGAGAATGAGAACTATGAGAACAGGCAAACGCTTGGATAAATGCAATAGTTTGCCCTTCAGTTAGTCCCCGCTCAAGTCTTGAAAAGGTTTTTGCTCACTGGTGCCATTACAAAGAGTACCTATACTATTTGCATATAAGACTGACCCCACCCATAAAGGCAACCCAGAACTTTCTAATTTCTGGTTTCAGTAGATCAGATACTGAAACATTAAGTGAAAGATATTTTTTTTAAACTTAGTTTTACCTCCATTTTTAGCCAAGTGTCCTTTTTATTAAAAATGCTGGCAAATTCTCACTGCACGAGCGATACAGCAACCCCAGATGATCGTTTTGACAAAAAAGTGTAGATGATACCACTTTAGGCACAGTGAGCATGAGTTCTATGTCTGGATTGCCATTTTTGCTTAGGGAGTGCCCTAACAAATTGCATTGCAACAAAAACAGAGAATATGAGGATTCTGGGAAAGAAAAATAAAAGCTCAAATTCAATAGTTTACCCTTTTTTGTCCCCGCTCAGGTCTCAAAAATGTTGGGTTGCTGTAGCTCTTATGCAGAGGAGCCGGCCTGCATTTTGGAGCTGGACCCATCCTTTCGGGTGGAATCAGTCAGAAATGCAAATTGCCTAGGTTCTCTTCGTAACAGCAATATGAACTTAACCCCCTAAGGGCACATGACATGTGTGACATGTCACGATTCCCTTTTATTCCACAAGTTTGGTCCTTAAGGGGTTAAGCTTTAGATCTGAGCAGGGACCCACCAGGCGCTAGGTTTTGATCTGATCTACTGAAACTAGGAATTGGCAGAAAGCTGTTCAATTCCTGGTCTCCAAAATTTAATGAACACAGATTTTTTAAACTTATCTCTCGTATGGAGCTGTAGAGCTCCGTCAACTTTCTTTAGTGGTTTTCAATTAGTTTTTCTTTTTTAACTGAATGAAGTACTAGTTGAGGATTCAGAGAAACAGTTTCCTGTCTTTCTCATGGCCAAAACAGGAAAGGAGTTGGAAATTTAATACAAGACATGTATACATTTTACACAAATCAATGTATTTGATCTACAATGTGCCATTAAATGAGTTATTGCACTTTTGGTATATTGAGTGTCCCTTTCATCTATATTCAAACATTTGAAAGGGAGCCAGACTGAAATAATGGAATCAGTTATTTTGTGGTAACTCCACCTCCCCTGGTTGTCAACCACAAAAAAGAAATTGAGACAAAAAAAAAGTACATTAGATAAAATCAAAAGAGGAGATTTATAGTGAGGCATTCTAATTTAGAATCATGTGGAGTGGAGAAGAATGGCACAATACATTGCAGGAGAGATGGCGCATAAGGATACATGCAGGATACTATTGTCCTGGTTTGATGACACTATACACAATGCATTATCTACAGAACCATTTTACAATAAAATGGTATAAGGCATAAAATGAGACAAGTACATGGTCATTTTTACCTTTTATCTTAGCAGTTCATAGTCAGTTCTAAGAAATAAGGATTTTTTTTTCTCAACACTGTTTTAACTACAGAATGCCTAAATTACTTTATGTAGTATGTTATCATGGATAACTTGATGCAGAACGCAAAATGGTACAATGCATCAGACACGCTCATTTAGTGTCTCCTTTTCTAATGATACCTCCCCTTCCTTCATCTTGTCTCGTTTGGAGTCCCCCAAGACTCTGTTCTTGGTCACCTTTAATTTCTCTTTCTGAAACTCAATCTCTCAAACGGAGCTTCTTGTCTTTCCTCCTCCTAATCCTCCTCTTTTGTTCTCCCTTCAAGTTAGTGGCACCCACATTAGCCCATCCTTGCAAGCACGCTGTCTTGGCGTTATATTTGATTCTGGCCTCACCTTTAAGCCTAACATCCAATCTGTTACCAAATTCTGTCGATTTCACTTTAAAAACATTGCCCACATCCTCCCCTTTCTTACACAAGACGCTACTAAGAGCTTGTTTATGTTCTAGTAATCTCCTAGTTGTTCTTTTTAGAAGTTGTACTGCCCATTGACAGTCAGTAATGAATGCTGCCGCCAGACTGATTTTATGCAAAAATTGCAATGATGATGCTTTGGAATGTATTTAAAATAGTGAATGTGAATATTTGAATTCACATGAGTTTGGTTAAAATAGAAAACATATTAAAGGCTATCACTTGCCTGGGTGATACATGCTCCGGTGAATGCCACAATCACTGCCACCACATTAACAGTCAGCTGAAACTGCAGAAATTTGGAAATGCTATCATATACATTGCGACCCCACATGACTGCTTTCACAATGCTCGTAAAGTTATCGTCCGTCAGGATGATGTCCGAAGCCTCTTTTGCCACATCTGTGCCAGCAATGCCCTGTCAGAGAAAAAAAACATTTTGAGTCCTTGCTCTCTGATGGAAAGAGCAAATTATAAGACATTAACCACTGGAAACTGGGGAGAACTATCAAGACATAAGACCGAATTACTTATTTTAAAATATACAATAAAGTTATCATGGAATTCTAACATACCATAGCGAATCCAACATCTGCCTTCTTAAGCGCTGGTCCGTCATTGGTACCATCTCCTGTCACTGCTACTACTTGTCTTGTCTCTTCTACTGTGCTGTCAATGATGCCTGCAACAAAGACACACTATCAATCTGTCTCTAGGAAAAGCTAAAGTAATGCAGTATTTTGTATATACAACATAGTTTTACCTTTTACCAAAGTATGCTTATCAGTAGGTGACGATCGAGCCAGAACACGTAGTCTAGGCCACACTTTATCCAACTTCTCTTGCTCAACCTGGCAGACAGACAGAATCATGACAGCTTGTAATAGACAGCTATGTATTCTAAACAATCAGATTTAGAAGAAAATAAACAAAGATAACAGTGGCAGAAAGTAGAGGAAAGAAGGAAATCGGATATAGGCGGTGGTCCAAAAGAGGGGTTGTCTTTAACCTTAAAAAGCTTGGTTGTTGGCCTAAACATATTTTTGGGATTAAGATTTACAATGTTTCCACAAATCTGCTAGTGTAGCATACAGCCCTGTTTGTCCAGCTTTAGTTTTTCCTTACCTTTTTTCTCTTTTTACATCCAGGTACCCATTTATCCCCTTGCTTGGAGATTTTAACTTGCAGACAATTTAATTTGATACAAACATAACTAAATCTAAAGTTTACCTCTAAGGATCTTCATACAACTAACCTTCCACCTTCATTCCAGCATCTTTAAACTTTTATTACATGTGCATATTGTGTTTGCATTTTGCTTCTCAAGAAATGGACTGTATAACAACCACATTCAGAGTGTAATCTTAAAGGACCACTATAGTGCCAGGAAAACATACTCGTTTTCCTGGCACTATAGTGTCCTGAGGGTGCCCCCAGCCTCAGGGTCCCCCTCCCGCCGGGCTCTGGGGAGAGGAAGGGGTTAAAATCTTACCTTTCTCCAGCGCCGGGCGGGGTGCTCTCCTCCTCCTCTCCTCCTCCATAGCGACGTCATGAGCCGCGCGCACGTATTTAGCCAGTTCATAGGAAAGCATTTACAATGCTTTCCTATGGACACTGGCGTCTTCTCACTGATTTTCACAGTGAGAAGCACGCAAGTGCCTCTAGCGGCTGTCAATGAGAGGCTGGATTAACCATATTATAAGGCGGCCGCTGGGGGACTTGTACCGGCGGAGCTGCGCTGTCTCTGCTCCCCAGCGCACAGCTGAATGAGACCGGTGCTGGAATATTCCGGCCCGGTCTCATTCAGCAGCGCGCAAGGGCGGGAGAGAAGAGACAGCGCAGCGCCCGCCAGAAGACCTCCCCCTGGCAGGTATTAGTAATGTGTGTCAGTGTGAGTTTGTCGGTCATGGTGTGTCCGTCTGTCCGTCCGTCATGGTGTGTGTGTCTGTCTGTCCGTCCGTCCGTCATGGTGTGTGTGTCTGTCTGTCCGTCCGTCCGTCATGGTGTGTGTGTGTCTGTGTCATGGTGTGTGTGTGTCTGTGTCATGGTGTGTGTGTGTCTGTGTCATGGTGTGTGTGTGTCATGGTGTGTGTGTGTGGGTCTGTGTGTGTCTGTCTGTGTCTGTCTGTCTGTGTCATGGTGTGTGTGTGTGGGTCTGTCTGTGTCATGGTCTGTCATGGTGTGTGTGTGTCATGGGGTGTGTATCTGTGTCTGTCATGGTGTATATGTGTGTTTAAAAATAGTGTTTTTGCTCATTTTTTTTCCCCTACGCAGCATGCTGGTCTCCCCTCGACTGGCCCTGCCTCTATAGCTGAGATCATCAAGCTTGATGAACTCAGCCAATCCAATGCTTTGCCATATGATTGGCTGCAAAATGCCACTCCAATCAGCATCTCCTCATAGAGATGCATTGAATCAATGTATATCTATGGGAACGTTCAGCAGCTACAGAGTGTGGAGGCCCTGAATGTAGGTGCACTGACACAAGGATCACCTCTAGTGACCGTCTGAGTGACTGTCACTAGCAGTGTCACTTTGAAGCAATGTAAACACTGCCTTTTCTCTGAAAAGTCAGTGTTTACGTTGAAAAGCCTGTAGGGACATGCTATAGACACCAGTACCACTACATTAAGCTGTGTGTGTGCGTCTGCTAGTGAGTGAGCTTGCTTGCATGCGTGTGCCTGCTAGTGAGTGAGCTTGTGTTTTTATGTCAATGAGCTGATGTATATCAGTGAGATTGTTTGTCTATGAGGCTGTGTATCAATGAGCTTGTGTGTGTCATTGAGATGTCAGTGAAATTGCCTGTGTCTGCATGTGAGTATGCTTACTGTATAATTAAACGTTTTACCCTGAAAGGACCAATATTTTATATTAGAAAAAGCAATATATATATCTATCTATCTATCTATAGATCTATCTATAGATCTATCTATCTATACATCTATAGATCTATCTATCTATACATCTATAGATCTATCTATCTATACATCTATAGATCTATCTATCTATACATCTATAGATCTATCTATATCTATATCTATCTATATCTATATCTATATATCTATCTATCTATATATATATATATATATATATCTCAATCATCTGTGTTGGCAAGACATAGCCTTACATATTACACGCAACAATATATGGCGCAGTGACTTATGGGGCTGGCACAACATTTTTTTCCAGGGCTGCTTTGTATCCCCAGTCCGGCCCTGCCTGGCACCCAGACCACTTCATTAAGCTGAAGTGGTCTGGCTGCCTATGGTGGTCCTTTAAATTCCCCAGCTTGTAACATTCTCCTGTGTGATGCAAGTTAGCAGACTTATGTCTAAATGAGGTATATTTACTGTAAATGATAACTGTATAGTTTCAAATGAGCCTTTTAATTGAGAGCAGTCTAAATCCAACTAGTCTTTTAGAATGTTGTTGAAAACATCTTTTAGCAATACACACAGGTCATCATTTAATGATACAATTTTGATTTTATAACATGACAGGAGGCTTCATATTTGCTTAAGTCTCTCTTTACTAGAACTCCACAGCAGCACAGAAAAACAACCAATCAGAAAAAAAAGTTAGGTACTATAAAACTCCCCTCCCCATGCATCATTTCCTCTTTCTTTGCTGCTCCGCATCAGTACGGGTCAGATTACCACTGCCTCCTGTTAATATTAGTTGGTGGCTTTGGGATTTTATTGTCTTTTTACAGTTCTTTAGAGTTTATTGGGGGATTTTCTGTCCATTTTATGCTTTCCTATTTTGTTAGACTGTATTTGTTTTCATGGGAGGGGGGGGGGATACAGGAGAGGGATACAGGAGACATGTCCTGAGTGTGGCCCACTCATAGAAAGAACCAGACAAGGGTGTAGACACTACCTTTTGTTATTAACGGGTACGGCCCACTCCTGCTATCAGCCTGATGCTGACACAGAGTTGGATTGATTTATTAGAGAGTGCGGCTCTCTCATACACTCTAGCACTACGGTGCCTCCATTGCTCATCACACAGGTTTGTAACTGTACAGGACAACGATGTCTGCCTAGAGGGGCGTCCCTCCTACATTTAATTCAATACTTGCTACCTGGTGCTATCATATCCTTAGGTGGGGACAGTACCACCCACGCTGAGATAACTAGAGCAGGTCTTTTTCTACAAATTGACCAGTACCATCTCTACTATCCTGTATCCTTAGACGGGGATTGTACCGTCTACGTGTAATACAGCAGAACTCTTATATAGCTCTACCCTATGTGAGTGGTTTTCCTACAGCTATTTAGCCAATATCTTGCACTTTACAAAATAGTTTTGCACTATTATTGTTTTTCTGTTTTATCATTTTGAGGTATTTACCAGGCCTCTTTTCTTCAGGTGTATGTACGTATGATTTTGGGCGCAGTATACACCATATTCTATTTCCATTTTGTTGGTGACCCTATCCCTCCCTATTGGAGGTATTCCTGGAGACGGTACAGCTAACGGAGGAGCCTCAGTTATTACAAGAGGGCAGGTTTTAGTATGATCTACGCTATATCAAACAAACAATCGCACTATGTCTAGGTTATACAGACCATTGCGTACTAGCGGTTCAGACTGATTTTACCCATGTCAAGGTGACAGTGGATCCTGAGGCCTTCGTAGAACAAACATGCACTGCCTTGCCCACGTGACAAGACTGGGGAAGGCCCACAACCTGGGCTGCAGATACACCATATGCATTGATTGCATGGGAAGAATGGAATCTTCAGTCGACTCGGGGTTCCCGGGTTGTTAATCTTGGGATAGATGTCAGGACTACCTCTGCTCCTCTGAGAACATGATTCGGTTATGGAGGACCCTCTTCTAGACTTTAATCCCTCACGGGAACAGTCTTGGTTGTGGGTTTCCGCTGACCCACCTAGTCAATTTCCATCAAGGAGGCCTGCTTGGACTCTATGGGGGGGAACCCTGTGTACCACGACTCCTACACAGACATCACAAAGTCGGGAGGCAACCGAAAGATGGAGTAATGCTCAGGATCGGTAGCAGGCTCGGATATGACATGCCGACTGGATGGCCTCTGCTTCGGATAGTTGAAGCTAGGACCTTGTTTGTTCGCTATATCTGTTCTCTGGGATCTCCGATCGTTAGTGATGGGGATTAACCTCTTACTTACGTATTTGAGAATGCTATGAGTTCTCGGGACTCCAGACTAAGAAGGGAGGTATTCCTATAGTTCGGTTCTCGAATTCACATTCCTGGGTCCCTTGGCCTCGGGCCTACTCGGGGAGATAGGTGCCCGGACAGTCAGAGATACAGGGACCTAAGGTCTCACTATATTATACCCTATCTTGGAGGTGTCGTGCTGACCATGAGTTCCTCCACAAACTTTGACAGATCGGGCATTGATCGGGCACAGACGATTAATCAGATTATTCACTCTCCCCCCTAATCAGTCGCCAGTCTCGCAGACGGAAGTCCTGCTCCAGACCTGCTCACCAGGGCTGTTTCGTTTTTTTCATCAGGCCTACACTTCGAACCGACTTCGAAGACTTTGCGGTCCTCCACGCGAATACAACACGGAGGACTCTTCTTCGTCTATGCAGGGCCCTATTACCCTTGGATCCGGACCACCTATCACTCCCAGATGAGGATATATTTGAATGGAAATCTCATACTGTAGTTTTGTTTCCCTTTTTTGGTTATATCCAGGATTCACAGGTCCCCAGAGTAGTCGACCACTGTTTCACTATGCTAGTTCAGAGTTGGGACTCTGATTGGACGTCCCTGGGGAGTACCTTATTCTACCACAGTTGCAGGTTACGCAGTCCATTTGGAGTACTGGAAACAGTCTTACCGGCATAATGGGTTCATTCTCAGACGAGGCCACTCACCGGGTAGGTCATGAGGGAACTATAAGATTCGGTTCGGTTACGGAAATGGTGGTAGACTCAGACGCATTACCTGAGGTTGGAATTTTGTCTACAAGGCCACATGACCTGGTGATCCTGGCACGATCGGAAAAAAAATCTTCTACATCAAAGGTCGAGATCTGGTGGCAGTTTTTTCTCGCGACCCTAAATCCACGGATGACCCTTGGTGTTTTACACTACAGGGAAGTAGCCAATAGGTCAGCTTTGCAGTTCATGGACGTCTGCTAGGAAACCGGTCGTAACCCCACGTACAGTGGATCTAACAACGGATGGAGTTTTCCCATATTTTGGGGTACATCAACAGCTAGCATCTTCATTGATCCGTCTACTGTCACTTCTCGCAGTTGGAGGGTCCATTGGGGATTGCTCTGGTTATCTTCCAGAATAGGTACCAGCTAAACAAACAGAGTTGGATTTGTTGGCTGAACGTTAAAACCGCAAATACGAAGCCTCCTGTCAGGTTATAAAATTGTAGATTATGCTAGCTTTAGTGTACCTATAATCTTAATTTTATTAATGACAGGAGGCGAGTATTTCTCACCCATTCTTATCCCTCCCTTGTTTAATTTTAATAGTTTGGGTTCATCAGGTACGTATGCAACTCGTTCTTATGTCTAATTTTTCCTAAGTAGGGTTGGGATATCTCCATATTAGGGTATTTTGGTTGATACATTGGGTACCTACATGTTTGTTCAGAGTACATTTCATTGGCTAATCAACCTGTTCAATTCTGTTTTTTCTTGTTTCAGTTTACAGTCCATCAAAGCCATCTCGTTCAGCAGATCCCCTCGGATGGTGGACGTTCTTGTATTCATTGTATCTAGGACTTCGTTTCTTCCCCATTATATTTTTTTGCCCTTTGTTCTGTCGCAGCTTGAAAGAGGAAATGATGTATGGGGAGGGGAGTTTTATAGTACCTAACTTTTTTCTGATTGGTTGTTTTTCTGTGCTGCTGTGGAGTTCTAGTAAAGAGAGACTTAAGCAAATACTCGCCTCCTGTCATTAATAAAATTAAGATTATAGGTACACTAAAGCTAGCATAATCTACAATTATTTGTTGTAATCCTTGTTCTTGCCAAAAATCTAATGCTCATCACACGATTTCTTTTCAGCATGAATTTGCTGTCATTTGGGGGCACTCACTTCCAATCTCCCTACATACAAGCCCTAACCTCAACCAGAAAATGGACAGAAATTACCCTAAACTGTAAACCACCAAACTGAACCTAAAACCTAAACCTCAAGACAATAACGGTTTTATATAAATGGTAAGACAGCTGTGATAAGTGTGTTCAGTACATATTTCTGGGCTAAATGCCGGTGTTTATAGTGGGACCAGAACAGATATACAATGTTGTGTCTCTGTTCTTCTCCAACAATAAACATGGCATGCAACCCAGAAATTAATCACGAATGTTTGTACCACATCTGTCATTCTACATTGATTATCAGCACCAGAAAAGGAAGAGTGAAAGACAGGAATTCATATCCTGTTACTTTTTCATTTGACAGAGAGCTGCTTAGGTATAGCCTGTCAAAGACAATATACCTAGCCTGTTGTGCCCAGTTTTTAAAAGATAAACCACATTAAGAAAACAATAATAACAGGTTCTACTAACATAAAGACACTCGCATAAAAATAATACACATAAACACAACGTATTACATTATTGGTTTCCAACCACACAAATCTGTAACAAACCAACCACTTTATATACATACACAAATTCATATATATTGTATTCAGATACACACTGATCAGCCACATTAAAAATCACCTGCCTAATATCATGTAGGTACACTGCAAAACAGCTCTGAAAGCCACAAGACCTCTGAACATGCATCTGGCACCAACACATTAGCAGCAGATCCTTTAAGTCCTGCAAGTTACAATGTGGGGCCTCCATGAATTGGATTTATTGTTAAAGCATGTCCCACAGATGCTCAATCTGATTGAGATCTGGGCCATTTGAAGGTCAAGACAACACCTTGAACTCTTTGTCATGTTCCTCAAACCACTCCTTAACGATTTTTGCAGTATGGCTACCATGAACGGGTGTATGTGGTCTGCAACAATCTATAGGTACATGGTATGTGTCAAAGTAACATCCACATGAAGGCCAGAAGTCAATATTGCCCAGCAGAACATTCCCAAGAGCATAACACTGCTTCCACCAGTTGGCCTTCATTCTATAGTGAATCCTGTTGCCATCTCTTCTCCAAGTAAATGATGCACACACCAGGCCATCTATCGGATCGAAATGAAATTGGGATTCATCAGACCAGGTTACCTTCTTTTAATGCTCCATGGTCCAGTTCTGATGTTCACATCTCCAATGAAGGTGCTCTCGGAGGTGGACAAAGATCATCATGGGCACTCTGACATGCCCCATATGCAACAAATTTAAGCATTGTTTGTTCTGACACCTTTCTACCATGGCCAACATTCTGTTTTTCAGCAATTTGAGCTACAGTTGCTCTTCTGTGTGATCAGACCAGATAGGCTAGCATTCGCTCCCCACATGCAACAATGAGCTTTGGCCGCCCTTGACCGAGATGCAGGTTCATCAGTTGTCCTTCACTGTACCACTTTTGGTAGGTACCAACAACTACAAACTGGGGACCACCCACAAGACATTTTACAGATGCTCTGACCCAGTCATCTAGCCATCTTAATTTTAATTTTATTAATGACAGGAGGCGAGTATTTCTCACCCATTCTTATCCCTTCCTTGTTGGCCCTTGTCAAAGTCACTCAGATCTTTTTGCTTGTTCACTTTTCCTGCTTGTAACACATGAAATTCAAGAACGGACTGTTCACTTGCTGCCCAATATATCCCACCCTTTGACAGGTGCCATTGTAACAATATACTTAATGTTTTTCCCTTCACCTGTCAGTGGTTTTACTGTTGTGGCAGATCAGTGTATATGTTGCCTGGTGCTAAAATCCTGCAATTACGCACCAACCAAAACTAAAAAATATTCCTGGGACTCCTTAAATGGAAATGCTTCAAAAAAGTCATTTTCTGTTCAATGTTTCAGTTTAACACACTAAACTTTTATCAGGACACATATTTATATATACATGTTTACACACACAAAGTGGTACAGTAACATAACTATTTTCAATGTAATTAGCTTTTTGGCAGTTAGAGAGCAGATATGTATTCTATAATGCATAGCTTAATGAGTTGCAGGGCACTGTAAAGTAAACTAGCTACTTCCCTTCAGGACTAAAAATAAAATAATTACTTTGTCTGCAAACAAATATGATGATAGAATAATTTGATCTTCCGCAGTGCTGTATTGACACTGTCCAGAGGCAATAGCTGCTTATTTTAGCAAATATTTAGCAAACATTTTCTTTTTTTTCAATTCTGCTTCTCTTACACATAATATTGCTTTCAAACAGCAGGGCGTGGCAGACATAGCAGCAACACAGACGTGTTTCCATTGAGCTCTGCCATAGAGACTCTTAAATTCAACAATTTTTTCACCTTTGGAGCTGTCAGGGGAAACATACTCGACACCCCCCAACAGAGCACCGTAAATTTCAACTCCGAGAGAGCCCTAAATTGCCTGATATCAGTCTTTCATTCGAGATGCCTACTCGGCCAGAGCCACCTAAGATGGCGCCCGAGCCTCAAGAGAAAAATGAGGCCTCTGTGGAATCTAATGAAGAGGAGGAAGAACTCCCCTCACTGGGTCCAGGGGATGACTCTCAGGAAGCAAAGTCGAATGAAGACTCTTCACCTTCCAAATTAAAAGGTTCCTAGCAGACATGCGGGAGGTGTGGAAAGCAGATCTAAGAGAGACCCAGGAGGAGATGGGAACCCTCCACCAGAAAGTCCAGGAGGTGGAATCCAGGGAGAGTTCCAGGAGGGACAGCCTGCTGCAGACTACCAAAGGTCAGGTGGAGAGTCGGGCCCAACAAGTCGAGACTAACCACCGTAAACCCCACGAACAAAGTTTTTTAGTTTGGGATTTTTAGACACTTAGTGCGCAACCGGTTGTTGTTCTATGTCTTAGTTTGAAGAGACCACTTACTCCTACAAAGTCAGTGAAGGGATATAATGGCTAGTCTTTCAGCCTGTATAGGACATATGATTGCAACATAGGAATGTGGAGCATTGTATCTTAACTCACAAAGGGGCGGGGGCAATCCATGCCCTTGTGGCAGTATGACCAAGTATGAGGCGATTATCCCATTATTTCAGTTAACTGTTACATCAGAAGAGTCAATACAGAACCATTAGGCAAGACCTGGGCAGGTGCTGTGACAACTAGACAGACGTAGTGTAAACTGAGGGCCTTGCGTCACAGCGAGCACTGTACATATGTGTGTAGTCTATTGACATAAAGACCATGGTTTAGTTAAGATGCCGTACGTGCGTGACAACTTGCCTACTTTGTGTCCCGGGGAAACAACGATAAACAGGTAGAGGGGAGGCAGGGTCCTGGAGGCTTGACTAGTCAGAGGAACGTTCCAGAAGGAGCGACTGGTCAGGTGGCCACGAGACCTAGCACGACACGACCTTATGCCCGCAGTCCCCTTCCAACGTTGTCTGAGACACAGACTCTAGATTACAGTGACCCTATGCATACATCAACCTGAGCAACACAATGCCAACATATTTGCCATGTTCCTTGTTTTGCACCTATGTCCGCTTGCTGCGCCAATCCATCATTACTGTTTCTTCAAATCTTACTTTGTTATTTTTCTGACCAGATAATGATCAAGGAGTGTACTATTTGCACAAATCCAAATAAAATCCATAAAACTTTTTTTTTTTTTTTAAATATTGCTTTCAATCCAATCATAGCAAGGGATTAATTCCAAAATCCTGATTAAGTTGTAATCTTTGCCTTCCCAAGTCATATTAACCCCTTAAGGACACAACTTCTGGAATAAAAGGGAATCATGACGGAATATTTCCGTCATGTGTCCTTAAGTGGTTAAACCTTACCACACCCTCTTAATTATTATATTATATTTCTAAATAGGTATATAAACTGTGTCCATATTTTTTGTCCAAATCATTCCAACAGGGAATACAGTCTCTCGCTGCTCATGCCCATTTATTCTCACTGCTGTTCTGTGGGAAGCATTTTACTGGACATGACTTAGCACTAACAAATGCTATACAAAAAAAAGAGCATCTTAAAATGTAGAAGCTCAAGCTCCAACAAATTATGCAACATTGTAATTTAGGTGGACTAACAAACAAGTATTTGCAACTAAAGAAAGGTAAGGTTTTAGGGCCAGACCTATTTGGTTTTTTACCCTACAACATTTAGTAAATATGTTTTTGTTTTTTTTAAACAATCACCTAACCATATGAATAAATAAACATTCATGTTATAACAGAAAATTTTCCTTTAACAATGTTCGATAACTAACAATGTATCAAGAAGACCATAATTTCCACAGATCGATTGCTACTGTAGAGCTTTACATCAGTCCACGAAAAATGTGATAAAGGTGTACCGAGGCAAAAAAATAAATAAAACATAATACTATGGTCCTGAATATAAAAACATGTTGTCAAGTTTTCAATTTGTCACCACAAGGACCACTCATTAAAACAACATCTTGTTTGACAATTACATGAAACAGTGGTTTGCTAGCAGCATCAAGGAGCAATCACAGTATTTATATTTATACTGCTAATTTACTGCCAGTTCACATCTCTATATTCTCACACTCATTTTGAAATATGGCCAGGACAGTTTTCTTACCTCTCCCTTTTCGTTGCGGATTAAAGTATTGAATTCTTTTCCTTCCAGGCACAGAAAGTCTTCCCCAGGCTGAAGGATACCACATTTGGTAGCTATAGCACGGGCTGTATTGATATTGTCCCCTGTTACCATGCGCACAGTGATACCGGCACGTTGACACATCAGGATGGCGTCAGGGACCTGCTCATAAATGGAAGATGAGAGAAGGATTAACAGTAGGTAGTTATGTCCCGAACAGTTCGCCACGGACTCATCATTGAGTAAACTTTGACCCTGTACCTCACAGTCAGCAGACACATTCCAGCCAATCAGCGGCAGACCCTCCCTCCCAGACCCTGCCACCTCCTGGACAGCATCCATTTTGAAGCTGCATTCTTAGTGAGCTGTCCAGGAGGTGGGAGGGTCTGGGAGGGAGGGTCTGCTGCGGATTGGCTGGAATGTGTCTGTTGACTGTGAGGCACAGGGTCAAAGTTTACTCAATGATGAGTCCGCAGCGAAGCGTACGTGAACCGTTCGGGACATCACAACAGTAGATAGAGTAGTTTGAAACTGTAGAATTATAGTAAATAATGGAGGAAGTCATATCAGAAATGATAAAAAAAAGACTCTAGAAATCTATGTAAAATCATAGCATGTGGAAAATGTATATATTTTACCTCAGGCCGGACAGGGTCTTCAATGCCCACTACTGTGATACAGGTAAGTTCAGATAAAATGTCTGATTCACTGTCCCAGTTAGGCTCTGCACCTGCAGGGAAGTCTCGGAATGCCAGACAGATTGTACGTAATCCATCACATGCCATTGGTTCTATGACCTTCTTTACCATCTCATCCCGATCTCTTGCCTTGAAAACACAGACCTCCCCTCCTTGGTCAAGGATACGTGTACATCTGTGGCAAAGAGAAGAAGCACCCATAATAAGCTATAGACATTTTATATTTCTAGATGTCTATGGATTGCAACAAAACAATATTTAAATTACTTCAGATTAAAGGGTTACTTTAACAAAAAAAAAAAGTTCTCCCTCAGCCCAATCTACCATCGCCGACATCAATCTGCTCGAAGGGACCAATGCCAGAGAGGGCTGGATGAGAGGAGGACAAGGGCAGCATGGGGATGGGGGGAGCTACCATTGGCCATCTCTAAACAACATGTTACGCATTCTGATGACAGACACTGGACATGAAAAGAACAGGCAGTCCAGAACTGGCTAATGACACACCAGTGATGCTTCCAGAGGAGAATTTACACCTTTGGTAGATACAGACTCCAATTACCATAACCACAGTGAAGTGGTCATGATGCTTGGAGCAATCCTTTAAAGAAAATCTGTCCTCAAATTTTCACTTCTCTTTTTTAAAATGTCTATTTCATTTATTGAAACTTGGTTTTCAAGATGTATACTGATTTGTTTTATTTTAAATGTGTCAGAGCAGCCATGTTGGGTCTTTACTGTTATCTGACCAGCTGCTGCTCAACTTAGTCTGCTGCTGAGGTGTCATTTAAGCCTAATATTGTTTAGCTGCTTTCTTAGAGTATTTATGTACTGTTTAACAAAATCGAATGTGTGCAAGTAGCATAAAATGTTCTAAGTTTTCCAATACTAGTTGCCATATTCGTGCTATAGTCTTACTTGCGCAGGATGATTTCTGAAGCGCCTTTGCTGTACATCCGGAATCCACCTGATGGAGTGCGTAGCACTGTACTCATGGATTTGCGTACAGAGTTAAAGGTATAAACCTTGTACAGTTTTTCCTCGGGAATCTCGTTGCGAACAGCCTGGTAATCCTGCTTCAAGTCCAACACAAAGCCTAGCAAGGCACATTCTGTTTTGTTACCCACCTGACGGGGAAGACCTCCTTCCTTCTCAGGAGGCTAAGAAAAACACATCAAAAAATAGGTTTGAAAAAACAAAACAAAAGAAAAACAAAACACCAAGACAAACTGAGAAGAGCAAAGCAACAAAAACACAATTAATATATCAGCGCATATCCCTAAATTATCTACTGATTAATCCCTGGCCACCATAACCCTTACATTTCAAACCCATCCCCTTAATTTCATATTCTCCTGTGCAAGACACAATGCGTAACTACACATTATATGTGTGTGTGTATATACAAACCCCACAAGCGATGGCACTCAATCAGCACTCCTCCTGGTCCTCCCAAGCCTCAAAGAGATTTAGTAGAAGGATCCATTCTTCAAGAATGTGTGTGGGTTTTTACTACAAATATAAATCCACACTGCTTAGCAGTGTTTTGGAAATGTTTTTTGATTCTCTATTGGTCACCACCTTCCTCTTTACTGAGGTGACAAATTTTGAAACAAAGAGTCTTAAAATGATCATAAAACAGCCCTCGAACTTTGGATTGGTGGGAATCCCTGAGTTTTTGCAAATCACTGAAAAAGTCTCTAATACTGGTATTTCAACTAAGCAATGCCCAGATTTTCTTACCAAGATCTTTGATGTATAGGCTGAGTTGACAGAAATGCCGTTGACCATCAGCTCCAGTACTTTTGCATCCAGTGCTTCAGGATCGGGAATCTGCCTATAATGGGCGCCACCCACATATGCTTGAACTACGGTCATACGGTTCATAGTCAAAGTGCCTGTCTTGTCTGAGCAAATGGCTGTTGCATTACCCATGGTTTCACAGGCATCCAGATGACGCACAAGGTTATTGTCCTTCATCATTTTCTGTGGAAAATGTAACAGTTTAGTTATTCGGGAGGGATGATATTTAATGGCGGGTTTTGGTTACAAACATTAGGCAAATAAATATCAGAAAACAATTGTAGGCTTGGTTAAAATAAATAAATAAAACCCTCTCCAATCATACCTTCACAGAGTAGGCAAGGGAAATGGTGACTGCAAGAGGCAGACCCTCTGGGACAGCAACAACAAGTACAGTGACTCCGATGATGAAAAACTTGACAAAATATTGAATGTAGATGGGAGTACATTCTGCCAGCCAAGGGCGACCCAACACTCCAAAGGTGTAAATGACAAAGTACAGGACCAGAATAATCACCGTAATGGCAGACATGATGAGACCTGAAGTAGGAAATCTTGTTAAGACACACACCACCACCAAAATACCAAGCTACTTGTACTTCATGAAATCCTTTCAACCCTTAGAACAAAATTCCCAAAGTGTATAGTACAGTAAGCTTCATTGAGAAAATTAAGAGTCTAGGACGATATGGAGTGTCTTAAACTGGCCTTATTGGGGTTTCTTTTTTTAAAGAAAAACTACATTATGCATCTTTTCTACTTTTCATTTGGACCTTGTTTCATATTTTTTATGGATGATCAAATGGGCCTCTGAGAAAATTATAAGGTAAGCGCCATGTTACCTGCTTTTCCAATCTGCACTGCTAGACGGGTCAGCTTTCCTTGCAGGACAGATTTTTCCTTCTTTGGCACCTTCACCACTTTCTTCTCCTTCTCTTCGCTATCAACTCCCTCCTCACTTTTCAGAGGTTGGATCTCAAGAGCTACACCATCCTGAGCTTTGGCTGGAAACGAGGGAAGTAAAAACAAGGGCCGGTTAATACTGAAGGAGAGGTGGAACAGACAGAGAAGGACACAAGGAACATGATGCCACTAGACAACATGACACAACCAAGAGTAAGTGCAGACAAACTCACCAGGAAAAATAAAAGTGCGCTTAAAATAGAAGGTTAAGGAGGACATGGAAAGAAGTGAGTGGCAAGTGAGAGGGAAAAGAGAATGATAATGAAATTACAAACAAAAAAGACAAAAGGAATAGAGCAGGAGAGAAGAAGGTTATGATGGGCCCCCTGCACAAAGTGGTATGTTAGTAAGTCCAGTATGAGTACGTCCTGTTTCCTCCTGTGTATTAAAATGTCTGGTTAGGTGCAGTTTACAATCCTCAAGAAGGGAGGCTGCAATATACTGTAATTCCTACACACTTGCACGGGCCCAGGAAGGGTTTCTTTCACCCAACCCTCTAACACTTCCAATAATGAAATGTAAGACAGATTAAACAGATAGTAAAGTGAATGTTAATGAATGAAAATGCTTTATTACCGTTGGGATGCTCTGCGTTGTTACACCAAACATCAAAATATATCATGATATACATCATTCATCCCAAGAAAGCCTGTCATACATACAGTAAGGGTGTTTTTCAAATACATTGTGATATACAGCACTGGCTATCAGTGAAACAGTCTGGAAATGCCTCTGTGTGGATTACATGTGCTTGTCTATTGAATAGCTTCACTCATTTTTTTCATGAATGAAATATCAGACATACGTTAATTACCACTTGTATTGCATGCATAGGCTGTACAAGACCTATTATGAACAGACAGAAACTATGATCATTTAGCTGTAGTCATTTTTGCATAGGGCTGCAGCTACAATAAATTGAGTGAATGGAGAAAGGCAGGACAATATTTTTAATGAGATGCCTGACATATTTACCAGACATATTCCCTGCTTGGTTATGGTGATGGGTTATATATTGCTTTCAAGTGATTCAAAACAAGCTTCATACAAAGCTATGTACATATTACAAAATGTACAAAAACAAGAATTCGCCTTGGTCCAAAAAACAAAAACAAAAAAACCCCCAACATATTCTGGTGGATTAGGCTTGGAGTGAAAATTCTACATATATATGTAGTTTATAAAGATTGGAGAAGGCAGCAGTTCAAATGTGTTTCAAAATATATTCACAGGGTTTACATATTTTGTAGTTCTGGGATGCAGTGATTGCATTGAGCACTAGCAGTTAATGTACTATAACAGCAGAAGAAATTGTTTAAATTATGGTTTTGTGGCCAAAATCACATGCAGCAATCCAGAAATCAAACAGATACATCACAGTTCCATTTGTTGTGGCTTTTTTTTTAATACATGAAGAACAGGCTTCCACGGATAATGTTGTATAGAAGATCGGTGAGTTTGAAGAAGCTTATTCTGCTACTGGTGGGGGAGGACCCTTAACTGATATCAGTCGATAGGGAGAACTTGGTCTCGAGGTTGTCAACTAAACAGTCTATATAGCTGGGGATGGAATGATGACCAGACCAATACCAGCCCCCTGTGTTGACAGAGTAGTTCACCAAGGGCAAGTTAGAACTAGCATACGTAGATGAAAGAGCAGGAAGAAATATGCTTACAAGATGAAAAGACAACATATAGAGAAGGACAGTCGCTGCTGTGGGCAATGCGTGCATAGAAGCAATATACCCAAAAGTGAAAGGCCTGAAAAGATCACAAGTGAATGCCACATATAGGACACAAACAAGATGCAATAACACATCCAGGCACATAAAACGCTGCCATTGTGTGTGATGTCACATAACCACAAGACACAAATTTATGTGCGCCAAGTCAACAAAGACTACATGTCATAGAAGAACTGTTAGGGGCAACTAAGAAAAGAGGAACACAGGTTTTGTTTCTGCAACAAAACTGGGAGTTTATCATTCTTTTTTAGATACACAGCCCTCCTGCAAACAGGCTGTAAATTTATGAATGCCCACTTTGTGTTAGAATGGCAAGTATCATGCAAAAAACACTAGGCCTTGGGTATGCTTGACAACTACAGGTATGTTTTAAAAATCCTGTATCTCCATTTATAAAGCTATATGTAGTACATTATACAATGCATGGTTTGGCAGCTCCAAACAATGAAGAACCCAGTGGTCCATCAAAGTTTACCAGTAAAGTTTCCTCCTTCAGAATTACAGCACAGATCATATAAGATCCTGGTGCGCGCTATAAGCTGTGCAGCTGAAAGTGGTGAAGGTAAGCAATTGTGCCCACAAACAACTTTTTTTGTGAAATTTAGTCAGTTGTCGCTGTGAAACAAAATGAGGTTGGGAATTGAGGATCTGTTTACCTTTGTTGCGATTTTCTGGAGGTCCTTGTTTTTTACCTGTTCAGATAAAGAAAAAAAAAAAAAAAAAAAAAAAAAAAAAAAAAAAAAAAAAAAAAAAAAAGAAAAAAAAAAAAGGAGGAGGGTTTCTGATCACTTTGACTTCATGAAATAGAGGAGGAAACCCCCCAAATAAGATGGAAGAGATGAAAGGGAGCACCCTCACCTGTGAACTATCCCATGAAGTGGAGTTAAAAAGGGCAAGGCAGGGTCAGAGAAGATATATAAAGAATGGGGAAACTGAGTAGGAAGAAGAAAAAACAAAACAGATAACAGACCGCGAATATAGACCAAATGGGATAGAAAGGTAAGATGAAGAAAAGAGGAAAGTAATAAAATAACGAGATAGAAAGACCACGATGGAAAGGCAGAAAGAAAGAGAAAAATAAGTATATTATCTGAAGGAGCAAACAGAAAGCCCATACAGCTTACTTATGGAAAGGAGACAAAAAACATTTTAAAAATAGGAATATGAGAACACCAGAGTAATGGATAATGGAGTGAGCACACAGAGGAGAGCACACAAAGAATGTGATTTCAAGAGGTAAACTATCAAAAAAGCAGAACAAAACCGTATTGACAATATAATCAATCCACTGAATAAACCAATAAACCTTAAACCTACTGCTAAAGAACCCCAATCAAGCGCAATACAATATATATATATATATATATATATACACACACACACACACACACACACACATACATACACACATATATACATATACACACACACACTCACACACAATGTAGTAGGTAGGTTGGTGTATATACACACACACACACACCTCTTCTATGGAACAGTGACCATACCATGTTTCCATGGACTTATCCTGCAAGATGACCTTACTATAGTTCTTGTAAGTGTAAGATGTTGTAATGTTATTACCTTTTTTTGATTTCTTCTCTTCCTCCGCACCCTCGTTTGCCCCAAGGAGGGTGAAGATTATACCGGTCTGAGAGTTGACACCAACAGCGGTGACAACCATGCGCCCAGACCCTTCCATAACGTGGGTGCCTGCATGCAAATTAGAAGCAGTTTGTTATTGCATTGTACTAATTGATGTTGGAATAAACAAATATAGTAAGGGACCATTTTACCTGATAGTAGCATGGGATCCTTTTCGAGGGATTTTTTCACCTGGTCACTTTCCCCAGTTAGTGAACTCTCGTCAATTTTCAGGTCATTACCCTGGATCAAAACACCATCGGCAGGCAAAAGGTCACCTAATTAAAACAGAAGATCAACATTACAAGTTGAAATTTATTTATTTTTTATAACAAAGATGTACGACACATGATTGTAAAGGTATGGAGATGTATAATAATTGGTGCCTTTGGCATGTACATGAAAACTGGCACATTGTAAAATTTTTCTCCCTGCAGACTTCATAGATTTCACATACCGTACTTAATCTGTGCAATATCTCCAGTCACCAGTTCTGCCACAGGGATTTGTATGACTTGGCCTTTACGAATGACAGTAAATTTCTGCTCCTGCTCAATACGACTCTGCAGGCCTCGGAATTGCTTTTCTTTGCTCCAGTCGTTAAACGCGGTGACCAGGACCACAATAATGACTGAGAAAAGGATGGCTGCACCTTCGATCCAGCCTGCTTGAGCCTCACCCTCATCTTCGACTCCTGCTGAGACCTCACCACACACTGAAATGAGAGACATTTAATTATGCCAAACATGCTATTCTCATGACAAGAAAAGGTGGGTAAAAGAGGATGCTGAATTTGAAGACATAAAAGTAGGTGAAAGGTGTAATACTGGGAAGTGAATGGTGTAGTTTTTAGAGAACGGCCAAAGAGCTGCAGTTCCAAAGCAGCAGCTGCAGAGGGCGTCTAACACCACTGAAACATAAATACAATACATTGAATTACAGTGTAATGCTTAGCTGCATATATACACACACACACGTTTACACTGGCATGAGTGGCATACAAAGCAACACTTGACCTGCACCTGTTTCAACAAATGACTATTAATATTGTTCCTGCATGCAATTAGGAAGTTGTGCAATTAAGGTAAATACATACATTAAGTAGGGGTAGGTGATGTTCAGCACGTCAGATGTTATAGACGATATCTATGCTGATGCTCTGCCAGCATTATGGCTGTAGGTCCATTATGGGAGATGTAGTTCACAACTTCTGGAGTGCCAAAAATTATCTACTTCTGCATTAAAGGAACACTTGAGGCACCATAAACACTTCGAACCAGTCTATCAATGCTGCCCGTCTCTACACAAGATGAGAGGCAGCTGACTGGCACCTGGATATTTTTTCTTTGTTAAACTGTTTGGTTAATCACTAGACGAAAGGTGCCAGGGGATTCCAGAGTGTTCTATTAAAGCAGGTCATCATTATGCGTTTGATATTTTTCTTACAAATATGCACGCATTTGACACATCCAACCATTAATTTACCTGTGAGGAAAACATGTTCTACTAAACTTATAGTAATAGGTTTAGATGTTAATGTCAAAGGCATCTTTCTTGCAACTGCTTAGAGATTAAATTCCCTCACAGGTTTTTCCCCAGTGTATATTTGAAGTCCTGAATAGATGCCTTTTGGTTGAGCACTGTGCCCCTTTACTCCAGATGGCCTTAGGTAGCGTGTCTCAGTATATGTGTCTGTATGTCTGTGTACCTGTATGTTGTCAATGTGTGTATCTGTATGTAGTCAGTATGTATATCTGTGTGTGTATGTGTCAGTATGTATATCTGTGTGTGTATGTGTCAGTATGTATATCTGTGTGTGTGTATATGTGTCAGTATGTATATCTGTGTGTGTATTTGCATTTGTGTCATGTACATCTGTATGTTGTAATTGTGTGTATCTATATGTAGTCAGTGTGTGTATCTGTATGTATGTCAATACATGTATCTGTATGTATGTCAATACGTGTATCTGCATGTGGGTCAATACGTGTATCTGTGCGTCTATGGTGAGTGACTATGTGCCTGTATCTGCATGTGTGTCAGTGTGTGTGTATCACAATGTATGTGTATATGTGCACACATCTCAGCATTCAAACGCTTACACTACACACAACATACCTGCATTCAAACTTCAACATTACATACAAACACATCTCTGTGTTAAACACCAAAATTATATATTAACACACCCCTGCATTCAAAAAAATGGGGGAGGGGGAGTGGAGGACAAGTCCAAGGAGGCCAAAGGAAATGCTTGCCCAGGGTCTAATCAATATTAAAGATGACCTTGGCAGTTAGCATGTTTACTGCTCATGTTAAAGAGATCCTATAGTGCCAGTCCAACGTGAGTTCAATGTGATTTTCACACTGAGAATCGCGGAAGCTGGTCAGTGGAGTAGCCCAGGCAATAGGAGTCTGAGACAAAGTTCTAGAACTTGGCAAATATTTTTACATCTGTATTAAAGAGAATGGCCCATAACGCGCGTGCGTGTGTGTGTGTGCGTGCGTGCGCGCGTGTCTAGTTCCTTTTTTGTTTTAAAAATACCTTTTACACCTAATTGACATTTTGAAGAAATTTCAATAATACATACACAGCATTACTAAAGAATTTATATTTGTTACAATTTCAAAGGAAACAAGCCTGCTTTAAAATGAAAGAGCAGATAAAGGAATATATATATATATATATATATATATATATATATATATAAAATTTTTTATAATGCAATGGTTTGTCCATTCAAAGGATCCTTTTAATACATTTAAACAACATTCAAATGTATGTGGACACTTGCTTGTTGAATATCTCATTCAAATTTCACAGGCAGCAGTTTAGGCAGGTTTCCTTTGATTTTCAGAATGTGTTCCACAAAATCTACTGCTATGGGGAGCATATCTATTGATATACAAAAACATAAGCAAGGTCAGGCATTGGGTGCTGGGTTGATTTGACCTGACACCACAAATGTTTGGAGGTGAAGTAACTGACTCTAGGAGACTACATTTTTCCATGCAGATGTCAACACATTTCTTTAGGATTCTTTTAGGAGCATTGGACATAGTCATGCTGAGAGCACAAAAATGGCCTACAAAATCACTGCATGTTAAACTAGCCTACATATGGAAGAAAAACAACTGTTCTTCCATACTTTCCAGTAGACACTATGCAGTCAGGCAGATGTTTTCCTGGTGTCAGTCAATTCCACTTGTCAGATGGTGAAGAATGATTCCTCAGTCCAGCTGTATGGCCATGAAACCTTTATTGAAGTTCATGACAAACATATATTGTGCTAATTTTACCACCAATGAAAAACTGGAAGTTAGCAGAGTGTCACAACGAAGGACAGATCATTTTCAACATGCTGTTATTCAGCCAGTCATGTGATTTTGGGCAAACTAATACTTTCCAGGCTGAAGTGATGTGGTTCCTAGATGTTTCCACTTCAAGAGAGAACTCAGAATTGAGTGAATCAGCTCGAGAAATGTATGAATTTAACAAACTGACTCAGGAAAATGCCACTTTGAAAATCACTGCATTCTGCAATTTAATCCGTGGATATTTTGTGGGCTTGATTTTATACACCTTATAACAATGGTTGTAGCTGAATCACATACAACTATTAACATACAGTTGCAACAAAAAGTATGTGAACCCTTTGGTGTGTTCAATAAAAACATAGCAACATTTCATTCTTTGTGTGTTATTAGTTTAAGCAGACTGTGATTGTCTATTGTTGTGACTTAGATGATGACCAGATCACATTTTATGACCAATTTGTGCAGAAATCCATATCATTCCAAAGGGTTCACATACTTTTTATTGCAACTGTATACTACGTATTAAAAAAAAACAAAAAACAATGTAATGGAAGATTTTAAGTTCTCAACTGATGCAAAGGATAAATTTGATGACAAAAATTTTTTTTTTTAAATACTGAAAGACATTATTTATGAATATTGTAACTTTTCCAAGTCTAATGTCCACGTTACGTTAGAACTTTCTAGTACTTACATTCACTGCCTTCGCCAGTTGGGTGGTAGAAGGATAGACCCAATGATATTATGGCTGCAATTTCCAAAATGATTAATGTTACATCCTGCAGTGCCTCCCATACCAGCTGCAGGAAGGTTTTGGCTTTCTTTGGGGGAATAAAGTTTTTGCCAAATATTTGTCGCCTCTTTTCCAGGTCTGATGGGTTTCCAGATAATCCTGTAAAATAAAATAAAATACATTTTAAAAAAATAATTCCATAAATAACTCCACATTAGCACAATTCATAAAACATCAGGTATCAAAAAGGTTTCCCCCCCCCCCCAGTATATATAATTATTTCACTATATATAACTTTTTCAATTGGTATATTTTCTATTGGTAGCTCATCGTTAAGACTCAGAATGAGCATTTGGGGAAGCTTTAAACTGCTCCAAAAAGGCCTACAAGTCAGTGGCCCATGCCAGCAGTTTTAACCGGCTGTCACAAGATGTTCCAAGTAGACATATGGACACAAGATAGGCCATTTACCTACTCTGCAACTTCCGCACTTCCTGAGGATAAAGCATTGCAGAACAGATTACAGAGGACGTAATTTAAGGCACACGTGAGTCTATGCAGTTGACTTTAGCATGCACAGTGTATTTGCTTATCTATAGAATCTATTCAGTGAGCCTACTCTTATTCTGCCAGAGGACCCGGCTGCTGCTCACCCTTCTCAAACATTAAGTAAACATGAACTTTTAGAGTTGAAATAAACGCATGTGTATGTTCATAAGGTTGGTTCTATATTTTCATAAGGTTGTTTCTATATTTTGCGTCTCTATATAAAGCTGTCTTTTTGGCTATTTATAGCGTATATTTTATAATAAAAAAAAAAAAGGGGGGGAGAAGAAGAGAGAGAAAGTAGGAGAAAAGGGAAAAGAAAAGGGGAAAATATCAAGCCCTATAGTAAGGCACTAATCTGTCAGGATTTATAGATCTCGGCACAGTATGACTTTATGTTTGTATGTTTTTAGGTTTACATGGTTTGTCATAGACCGTGAATAACTATTTAAGGTCCTAAATATACTAAAGGTCCTAAAGATACTAAATTTGGTATGTCGTCTAATCTATAAATAAGGTGATAATTGAGGGTAATAAATTTAAAATTTGGTATCTTAGAGTGCTAGAACTGTCGGAATATATTTATTGTTGTATTGTTTTTTGTTTATATTTTTAAATGTAAGTCTTTTATTGTATATTGTGATACATTTTCGAAAAATAATAAAAAATAATGAAATGAAAAAAAAAAAAAAAGAAAAAAGAAATAAACCCATGTGGACTCTATGAGAAATGGTTAATACCACACAGAAAGATTCTGGCACCAGATAAAAAACTATTGGCTCATCTAGTCTGCCCATAATGACCGCTAATTGATTCTGCTAACTTGTTCTGTAGAATAAGCTCATGTTCATTCCACATATTCTTTTAAATCATGAATGCAATGGTCTATTAAAAACTATTTATTTTCGAAGATATATCCGCTCATCTCGAATGTTCCCATGAACAAATAAAAAGAAAACATGAAAGTGAATAATAATTCATCTGTCTGAAGCAGTAAGTATATTTCTGTAACAATATATTGAGCAGAAGCAAATGCTGGTAAGATTGCAAACACACACACAAAAAATTAACATGCACTGAAGAACGAACACCCACGAAAACAGTTCATAGTGTGGAGTTTATAGGTGCTGATCCACCTAGTCTATTGAATTTGACACTTTTGTAACCAATTATAGTATTAGAAAGAACATGCATATTAATTCTAACTGCCTAATTCACAGCAGAAAATTTTCCCCATTCAATTTTCCCTCAGTTCAATTTATTCTAGGCCCGCAGACATGTGAAACTAGGGGTGGGTACCACTGATATGACAGCTTTGTTGCCATAGAAGCAGAAAAATATTCCTAAACATTCTTGTATTGCTTAGGTAGTTAAAATGAGAAATGAACACATTTTGCATTGCTCAGAAGTGTCAGAAAACTTACATTTTTGTATGTTTAATAGAAAGAAAAAAAAAAAGTCACAGCTGGTCAGGCAAGTTGTGTGTGCATTTCAAATTTGTGGCCAAAGACGGTTCCAGCAGCTTAAATAGACACTATAGTCAGAATAACCACTTCTTCGCAATCAAGGGTGCAGTGTCCCTGACTGTAAAACATTGCAGTTTATTTTATTTAGAAATTGTAATGCTTACATTGCAGGGCTAAGTCCACCCTTAGTGGCTATCGGTATGACCACTTCTAGAGGCGCATCTGGTGCACTGACTGAGTAAAACTGTGTCATGTAATGCGGAAGCCCCCCAAGATGGGTTATTTGTCCTTTAAAGAAATACTCCAAGCACCATAACCACTATACCATGCTGTAGTGGTTATGGAGCAAGTAGTTCCATGGCAAACCCCCAATGTAAGTAGTCAAACCATTTTACAATGGATTGACATCTTGCTTGGGGTATGCCAAGTGCCACCCCGCTGCCACGCTCTGGAACCTAATGATAGAATTCTGTTCTCATAAGCTAAGCCATGCTGATCACTCAACCAAAAGGCAAAATTCTGCACCAATGTTTAAAAATGGTTTAACTGTATTCAGTGTATGTATGGATAAGAGGGGCAGCACACTCCAACAAAAGTGGACTGTAGTGATTATGGTGCACGGAGTGTTCAGCTAAATGTTTAGATATAAACATTTTAGGAAGCCAATCTTGGGTCTATTTATTAGTTATTTTTACTAATGTATACTGTAGAATCAAATGTTTAGGATTCTCCTCCATGTTTCATACTGCTAGAACTGCATGCTATATACTCAGAAGTCATATTTTACCTCTCAAACCAATTACATGTTCTATTTATGCTTGTTAAATAATTAAAATATTGCTCTGATTTTCCTCTAACAAAACAACAAAACAAAATTAAACTGATTTTGTGTTTGCAGTATCCGTAACCAATGCCTGGATATTGTCCTGAGAAAACAATGTAGTCCAGGCACTCCGGATCTTTTTCAAACAGTAGTTTTATTGGCAAAACTCTGCAAACATAGCAATGTTTCGAAAAACTCGGATCTTTATCAAGTTGTGTTTGCCATGTTTCTCTAATAAAACTGCTGTTTGAAAAAGACCCTGAGTGCCGGGACTACATAGTCTTCATTATATGGAACGGGGGTTTGCCAGCCCTAGATACAGTGCACCGAGGTCTACAAGTGATGACAGTGCAGATCCCTCCGTTGTTTGCAATCAGTGATACTTTTGATATTGTTTTTCATCACTTCTGCAACTCACGTGCTTAGTATGGGATTATACCACACTTCTAAATCCGCTCATTTAAAAAAATATATTTTATGTGTAACTGCTCTGTATTAGTATTTTGGTGAAATCCATGGTCACATGCCACAAATGTTTGCATTGTGCATAGTCTACTACACTTTAATAGTCAAAATGTAGTATTTTTGAAATGTGCTATCCCTCAATAAACTCTATACTTCTTATTACATTAGAAAGAATTTGAGAATCTATTAAAACCCCTCTTATGATCAACGCTCTACTGAAATTTTTTAATTTTTTTTTACAAATATTTATATATTTCCCCCTCCCTGAGTCTTACCTTTGTCAGGGAGGGAGGATTCTTTATCCTGGGGGTGGGAGGGGGGATGCTTCATATGCCTCATGCTGCTTTTAACACTGAATAGGGCAGCTTCGCATGGCATGATGTTACTTCCTTCAGAACCAGTCACACAGAGCTGCCCTGAGCAGTGTTACTGACAGCCTACATGCTCAGTGTGGCTGTTACTCTTCTGGCAGAGGCTCTGCTCCTGGAGCTTTGCCGACTCACACTGAGACAGGCACACTGAGGGTCAGCCTAGTGGGGTCTTTGGGAAGGCCCCTTAGCAGTCCCTCAGTGTGCCCTGCAAGGGAAAGAAGATTTTTAGCAGCAGGGGCCCACAGAAGGCTGTGCGGGCCCCTTACTGAGTGCAGGCTGGCTGGGGAGCTTGTTTACTGCAGCAGGGACAGGCCCCAAAGAGACGCGGGCCCTCGGTCCATGACCGATTTGCCTGAGTGCGCAGTCTGCCCCGGATACAAATATGCCCAAAAATGTCAGAGTGAATGAAGTGTGGATCCAGGCATTTAATAGAAAATATGTTTGCAGAGAAAGCTTCTTAAAGGGACACTATAGTAACCCAGACCACTTCAGCTCAATGAAGTGATCTGGGTGCCAGGTCCCCCAGGTTTTAACCCTTCAGATGTAAACATAGCAGTTTCAGAGAAACTACTATGTTTACATTGCAGGGTTAATCCAACCTCTAGTGGCTGTCTTTCGGACAGCCGCTAGAGGTCCTTCTGCGACGCTGGATACAAAATTTGCATCCAGCGTGCAGAACGTCAATAGGAAAGCATTGAGAAATGCTTTCATATGGACTGTTTGAATGAGAGCGCGGCTCGTGCATTCTGCTCCCCTCGGGAGCTGCTGTTGGGGGGATGGGAGACACGTAATCTGCCCACACTAGATAGCACTATGAAATTCCCGCACATGCCTAGTTAAACACTTGAAGAAAACTAGATCAGTTAGGAAGAAAATAAGAACAGATCCTGAGTGAGCCAAGTTCGGCATGACAGTACCGCTTTAAGTGAATCCTGTAACAATGCCAAATATTTATCCCCTACAGGGTGTTTTAATCTTGAACTGAATTGCAAGATTATTGTTCCAGAGCTATTTCATTAATCTACAATATTGAAGTTAAAAAAAATAATAATAATATAATATCTCTATATCCACACCCACACAGGTCTGTCCAGAAAGTAGACATTTATTTAAGAAGATACAATAAACATTGTGCATAGGACAATGATGGCTTAGTCCCCTTCAAAGTAGGCACCATGGGACCTCACAGTTCTAACAGTGTCTTCCACTGTTCAAAACACTGTGCAAAATCCTGTTAGAATCATCAGTTGCCTTTTTGGTTTTACCTGAATCTCATTGACTGTCTGAAACCTCTTTCCTCTCACAGGTGAATTTAGTTTTGGGAAAAGTCAGTC